CGGCTTAACTGCGCTACATTGGTATTTTCGATTCATCCTGAGTTGACCCGGATAGCACCAACGTCGCCGGTCGCGACCGGGTCAGCCGGATGCCTCAGCGGCCTTCGCAGACTCACGACAATTATTTTGTTTTTAGGTTAATACAAATTCTATAATAGAGCTGTGTTATGATAAAAACCAAACTTTTATGCTGTCTGTTTGTGTTTTAATTTTAGAGTCAAGTTGGTACTTCAGTCATGAATGATTATGAATATAAGATTTGACTGGGTTGGCGCAGTACAACTGCACTACAACTGGCTGCTGTGCAACGTGTCCTGGGTCCGATTCCCGCACAAAACAACACTTTGTGTGATCGACAAATTGTTGTTTCGGGTTTGGAGGCTTGTGTTAGTGAATTTGTATGTTTGTAAACGCACCCAAGACACAGGAGAAAACCCAAGAGCGAGCCAACGTTTTTTAAAAATAAATAAAATAGTAATGATAGGAAAGGCCGCAAAAACCGACCATCGATAAAATTTGAAAATCTCGATAGCTTGTGGGGGATTTAACAAAGAGAAACATTTGAATGTTTGAAAGGAAATCTAGTTAGAAAAGATTCTAAACATTGTCAAATTCCAAAAAAAAAACAGTGAATTTATTGCCTAACTATAAGTTGTTGTTAAGTATACACAGTTATCGTGAATCATGTGACAGAATAATACCTATCCCAAACGCGATTGCAAAAATCACGGTATGAGTAATAAAAACAATAAATTTCACTTTCAATTTACAAGTATCAACATGGAAGATTCCACTAGATGGGTCTGGAAAGTACTCGTGTGGCAACCACGGACTTAAAAACGTAGCGTGGGCAAGCCTCCCGGTAGGTTTTTTCATGTGATCGGACGGAAAACGAGCAACCGGATTACCTGATGATGAGCAATCAGCGTCCATCATGGACACCCGCAACAAAGGAACAGTTAAGACTTTAAGAGTGTGTTGGTCACCTTTCAGGGATTAGAGTCCTGGGGATTTAGGGTTTGGTGGAGGGGTTGGATTGGGTCTCCGGTAACCTCACACAGCGAAACACAACGTTTTGGTGTTTCACGTCGGTTTTCTGTGATGTCTTGTTATCATTTGGGGTCTAGACATTCGTGAGAAGTTTGGCTATCTCACTATTAAATAACCAGACCCTAAGCGAACGCCGGCGTCCACGCACACCTAGTGTCTCGAATTACCATGATTGAAAGTTTAAGATACATTCAGTCAACAAAGTATCGGGAATGAATGTTTTTTTATGGATCCAAATCCGATTTTTTTTTTGTTGTTGTTAGATTGGCATAACTGTTTTCCATTTTGGCGCGGAATTTGAGTTGCATCTGTTATTTATATTAAAAACAGTGCTGTTTTTAGTTTTATAATATCTAGTGTGTATTACGAATTTCATAATGGACAAAAACATCGAACAAAGAGTTTGTCTTAAATTTTGCATCGCCAATGAAATTTCGTGTTCGGAGGCACTCAAAATGTTACAGAAGGCTTACGGTGAATCGACTTTATCAAAAACACGTGCTTATGAGTGGTACAAAGCGTTCAAAAGCGGTCGAGATGTGATGGAAGATTTGCCTCGTTCTGGTAGGCCATCAACGTCTGCAACTGAAGTTAACATCGCAAAAGTGAAGGAAATAGCGACTGAAAATCCTCATTCAAGTTTGAGAGAGATGGTTGCCGATCTTTCTGTATCTCACGAGTCGATCCGTACCATTTTAACAAATAATTTGGGTATGAAACGTGTTGCCGCTCGGCTAGTCTCAAAAGACCTGAATTTTCTTCAAAAACTAAATCGCATGAAAGTCGCTGAGGGCATTCTAGAACGAGTCAATACCGACCCAACATTCATGAAACGCATTGTTACTGGTGACGAGACGTGGGTTTACGAGTTTGACATGCAAACTAGTCAACAAGCTTCGGAATGGCGCCTTCCAACTGAACCAAAACCAAAAAAACTACGGCAAAGTCGATCAAAAGTCAAAGTCATGTTGACTGTTTTCTTTGACTATCGCGGTGTTGTGCACTCAGAATTCTTGCCCGAAGGTCAAACGGTAAATAAAGAATATTATTTGAGCGTTATGCGGCGTTTAAGAGAACAAATTCGACGAAAAAGGCCAGAAATGTGGAAAGAAAATTCTTGGATTTTGCATCACGATAATGCGCCTTCGCACAAGGCCATCATTGTAAACGATTTTTTGTCCAAACACTCAACAAACACCATCGAGCAGCCACCATATTCACCAGATATGGCTCCAGCCGACTTCTTTCTTTTTCCCACACACAAATTACCCCTTCGTGGCACCCGTTTTCAATCGTAAGAAGACATAAAGGAGAATTCGCGGCGAGCACTGAACTCAATTCCGGAAACAGCGTTTAAAAAAAGTTTCGATGATTGGATTATTCGTTGGCGTAAGTGTATCGTTTCTGATAAATTTAGATGAATAACAAACATTTTGTGTATTATTGACTTTTTCCCGGTACTTTCTTGACAGAGTAGTATATTGCACTTCATTTATGAAAGTTGATTGAGTGATAAACTCAATGATGGATGGCTAGAACTTTCGCTTTGTCGTTCGTTCAAAATAAAGACCTCGTGTTACAGTAACGGTTCGCGGTCACGTGATCGCACGGCACGTGCTTATTATTATCAATGTTTATAATTAAGTTATAATTATAAAAAAAAACATTAGATCATGACGTTAGAGGTTTAATCAAATACTCGAGTTATTGATAAAAGACATGATATGGTAAAAAAAGTTTTAGGCACGGTTGTTTTTATTCGTTTTGTTTTTATCGGTTGCTAAGATATTGTAATAAATGCGGTGAGTGTCAAACTAAGTGTATCTGTAAACACGGTGTATACTTTTGACCGAACGATAAAGGTAAGGTCGGTCGGGGCGTAAGATTAACATGGTTTCGGCCCCTGGTGAGGCGTGAAACTAGTCGAACCGTAATCTTCATTAATTTAGTATCTCTCACAAGAGTAATAATGCAAATAAGATAATTTGCTTATTTGTAAATGTTAACTTTATTATTAACATTCGCTGTTCAAAGGAAAATGCGAAAAACATATCAAATATATCAAAATATTGGCTTCCTTCTTCTCGCGTCACAAAAGTAATTAACACACACACACTATTTAATTAGTACCTACCTAATAATCGACTAATTATGTAACATTTATTGAAACATTTAGAAACGATTTACTTTTCATTAGGTAATGCGCAGAAAAGAGGTTAAGTGACCATAAAGGTCGCGTTCGTGATCGGAGTCGATCGGAATCGAAGAAAACCAGATCACATAAAATGCGTTCAAATCAAATAAATAAATTGGTTCACTCTTCACCCACGGAAAAGTTTTTGACATTGATGGATGTTACCTTGGTAGTGGTGGGGATAAAATACAGTTTTACTCACGCATATTGAATGATAACAGCTTGCCACCACCGCGGTAGATTCGGCAGTTGGAATCTTTTCATTTGCTTTCGACCCATTTCAGTTTCGGCCACTTCATCTTCACCATCAACCTGCAACAGTAAGTTATTAATCCAAACTCATATTGTAAATTCCAAAAGTAACTCTGTCTATCTGTCTGTCTGTCTGTCTTTTCTTCACGCCTGAACTACAGAACCTATATTTGTGTGAAATTTGGTACAGACATAGTTTGGAACTCGAGAAAGAACATAGGATAGTTTTTAAATAAAAAATCTGCAGGAAGTCAATATTACACGCGAACAAAGTCGCGGGCAAAAGCGTGTTATTAAATAATAAGCTAAAGGACTATTGATCACATGAAAGAAAACTTGTTTATTCAACCTGAGATGAGATGTTTACGCCATTGGCAACTTCTTTATTATATTTAAAGCTTTATGGCTGCAGCATTAAGTCGAAAATTAAAAAAAATAATATTGACATATTGGAATAGATTGCCCAACTCATTCAGTTTAATGTTGTGGCCCGGGCACAATGGCGTCGACTTTCAACACAAACCAGGCCGGCCAAAGGATAATCATTTGACCAAGGTACTAAATAATCAAGCTTTTAAGTATTTTGTGAGAAACAAGGCTTTTTGCAGCACTTACCTGAATCTTTACTCTCTTATCTTTATCATCGTCTGTTTCACCATTTCCATTTCCATTTCCATTGCCATTCACATCGGCCACTTGTGCAGCGGACACGTCTCCAGTTTTTGGACTAGGTAATTCAGTCATTTTTGTTGTTTTAATTTAGCTGCTGATAATCCAAGTGGTTTTTTCGTAGATGTTCCAACCTTACACTCAATTTTGGAAAATAAATGCCTTAAAATAAAATGTAACTTGAGAATTTTAATTAATAATCAAGAAATTAAAAGTTACACAATATAAATTTATCTAAACATAATAATTTGTTACAAAAATTTTGTTCTAAAATATTGTTGTTGACTTAAAATTTTGGAGGCCACGCCTAAAATGACAGTTTAATAGTTTTTTTTTCACACGTTGATTTTACATATTTTTTTATTACCAGCCACTTTCTCTGTGGTTCTTGATTGACAAAGAGGTTGTATTGTATTTCTTATTTTTTATGAAACAACCTTCAAGACAATAGGAATACAAAATATTAGTGTGGGAGAGCCATGCTTCGGCACGATTGGGTCGACTGGATCGTATTGATACCACGGCCTCACAGAAAACCGGTGTGAAACAACCACAGCGTTGGGTTTCGCCGTGTGAGTGAGGTTACCGGAGGCCCAATCCTTACCTTTCCCCAATCAAAATCTCAAAATCCCTAATCCTAATAAGGTCGGCGACGCACTCATAACTCCTCTGTTGTTGCGGGAGCGGCGCTGATTGCTTACCATCAGGTAATCCGTGTGCTCGTTTACCGTCCTATCAAATCCTACCAAATAAAAAAAACACAACAGTAATATATTTCAGGGTACCTAAGTAAAAGTAAAACAAATCCACAGTTGCATATACAGTTTATTTAATTTTATATATCAAGATTATTTAACTGAATGTCTTTATTTTTATTTTTGTTGATAGCAACCTTCCATAGGTGACGCATTTCTGGATCAGCTGGACCCCAATCGTTGTTTGGACGGCAGCTTTCACGAATACGCTGTAAATAAAAATAATGTATCAATTTGTGGCATTTTAATTTAATGAAAATATGTATATTAAAATCAATGGAAAAGTTTAGTATCAACCTTTTTTTTAATGATAATTGTCTATTTATAGTAACAGATGTGTTTGTATGTATATTCGTAATAATCTGCGGTATGGCTGAATGAATTATGAAACCTCTTTAATTATTAAATTCGCATCACACGATGATGGGACCTCGCGTGATTTCGTACTGTGAAGTTTGAAGATTAGAGATGAATTAAAATGGTGTCATGTCCATGTTTATTTGGCAAAAAGTTATCTTGAATTATTAATATAGAAGCACTGAGAACAATTTGAGACTTAAAAGTATCATGAATGAGAGTATTTCAAAAAATAATAATTAGCTTGAAATCGTATTCATATTGAATCGGTTTGTGTTTATATATAGGCCGAGAGTGAATGTCAGATTTTTAGGGTTGAAAAAGCGTCCTATATAACCCAACTAGCAAACGTAATGCGACAAAGCTACGAGGAATTTAGTGAAGGGCGTTAATTTAAAAAAGGAACAATGAATAAAAAAATTAGGAATAACACGGCAGAAGCATTACAGCCCAAAGGAATAACAAAAATTTAGACGCGCCTAATTACGTAACTCCATTGCAAAAATAAAATGTGTTTACCTAATGTAAAAATTCAAAATAAGAGAACAGAGAATGCCTGCATTATATAATTGGTTAAGCTAAATATTTTGCACCTGTGCGCTCAGATATTCCGAGTTTATAGTAACATAGTTTGAATTTCGAATAGGTTTATTTTTTCGGCCGAGTTTACAACTGGCATGTTTGCACAGATAATAAAATGTGAATTAAACATACTTTATCAGCCTCGTTATTCGAGTGGGTCATAAGCTAAATGTCGATTAAAAAGATTCTGGATCGATTCTCGAGAAAAACTGAAATGCCTAATATTGAAAAACCGTTGTACTTACAACGTCTCCCAATATACCAGGTGAGCAGCAATTGGTTCGACCTCTAAAAATGGGTCTTATAACTAGCGAAAAATAGGTGTTACATAAATATAACATATACACATATGTATGTTAGACATACCTCTACAAGCGTTCCTTTGGATTTGAAGAGTAGTTGAATTGCGTAAATTGGAATGCAGATCACTGATATGAGAGCCACGCACCATCCAGCTGGTCCTGCAGCGTCTTTTAAGCTGTATCCTGTTATAACCTGGACAAAAGGAAAATAATGAGTATGATAGCAGGTTTATTTAAGTTAGTATCCATCGATAAAGTAATGTTTTTTCAGAAAATTTTCCTTCAACTTCGACCTTATCGCTATCGAAAGACTACGTCACTGAAAGTTATTTTGAGAATTTAAAATTAAACTTGAAATATACAATCATTTTTTTAGTTTAAAGGTTACTTTGAATTGCAATCTTCTAGTTTTTTTGGTTCAGTAAGTACATTTTTTTAGTATTGTGTTGCCTAATGAAACGATAATGAGGGATAAATTAAGAGCCAACAATCTGGTATGTTTTTGTTGAGTATTTTTTTTATGTGGTACCTCGGTCGGCAAACTAGCAGACGGATTACCTGATGGTAAGTAATCAGCGCCGCCAATGGACACTCGCAACAACAGAGGAGTTGCGAGTGCGTTGCCGATCTTTTGGGGATTAGGGATTTGGGAGATTTAGGGATTGGGGAGAGGAAGGATTGGGCCTCCGGTAACCTCACTCACACGGCGAAACACAACGCTGTGGTTGTTTCAGGCCGGTTTTCTGGGAGGCCGTGTTATCATTAGGGTCGAGCCGACCCATTCGTGGCGTAGCATGGCTCTCCCGCACTTATAAAGATTTACTTACGAGATTTAGGTAGGTAACTAAGTAAACTATTTCCACCTACTTCAGTAAGTACTTACTACTCTACTAGTTTCAAGTCACAACGGGATTCTTATTCATGAGCAGCGTAAAGTTTGCATCAAAGTCTCGTAGCCATCTTTGAGTTTTGTCTGGTTTACAAAGGTCGTTTGCAATGAATTTCGACAGCTATACAAAATTTACGAACTTTATCTTAACACCTCAACTGCCACTGGTGACCTACATTAGCGGAGGATTTACCGTCAATACATTTTTGCCGATACTCAAAGACCACAGTCGAAAAAGGTAATCATTATACCAAAGCAACAATCTAAAGCACACCATAGCCATTTCAATAAAACTCTATGGCTCCGTTGCTATAGGTACTAACGTAAAAATAGATACGCTGACCTCTGGCCAGTTACAGTCCCCTAGTTAGACACGTGACCAGAAACAATAGACAGTTGATAAGTAAATTGAACTATAACCAAGACGGAAAATGGTTCAAACATTACACAGTAACTTTACTATGCAGAAAATAACATCAATGAATCTATTAATTAATTGGATAATAATAGTTCACAGTATGTTCATTTATGGAATTTATGTCGAGGTTGAGTTGAGACGTAATGAAGAGATTGTATGTGACTCTTTGAAACTTCGCTGTGTTTCGCTGATACAAGCTGAATATAATTAACTAACGAACTACGCACGGCTGTTTTCCTTTCGAAGTTTATAGGATATGATCATCGAGGATAGGAAAGAAGTTTTCAAATCGGTCAAGTAGTTCCGGAGTATATTCAATCCAAACAACCAAACAATCAAATCTTTCCCTGATGTAATACTGAAGTATACTTTTTTTTTGTCATCATCCCGTTGATTATCTATGTAGTGGAAACCCATTTAATGGACGACCACGGGTTGTTATTGATAATTACTGAAGCTGAGCTTGATTTCCATTATAAATATTATGGCTTAAATGAATGTTTATAGAGTAAAATCTATTAAAAAGGCCTAATTGAGGTTTTTTTAAAGTTGGATAATCGTCCATTAACTTTCCCGGCCTGAGTAGGAGAGAGTGCCAGACTATTAGGTACTATCTAAAAACCATTCCTTCTCCTTATAATGTTTGCGGCTTACTCACGTAATTGTTTGATGAGATATTCGACTAGTGTCAAGCCATGCTAGAAGCCCATATTCATGAGCAGCATTCCGTCGCGTTTCGCGGGATAATTAATTTAGTATGTCTCATGAAAGTTATGATATGATAAAAACATTCCTTCTTCTGCTCCAAATCTGGCCGCGAAACATAATTGCCCTTGCACCCACAACTCAACTCGACAACAGTAAACATAAAATAAGTCTTATTATACATCAAAGTAAGAACACCTCGGGTACGTCTGGCGTGCCTATGTCTTATGTGTGACGTGTCTGTATATAATATGTCTCCTAACTTCTTGAAAACGTCTCAAGGTTTCTGTTCTATCGTCAGAAATAAAACCATAGGTACACACCACCTAGTTTAACTTCTATAAATTTGAACTGCTGTCTTTAACCTTGTCTAAAGTTTGATAGGAACAATAGTTCTGTGCAGAACGAAAATGTAACATCGAAAATCGGAATATACAGTTTTGCGATCGTATTTATACTAACAATACTCAACTAGGTACCATCCGTATGATAGTGTTATTTATTCAGTTATTTATTGTATTTCCAACATTGGTTTTGTAAATTGAAATTCCCTTTTATGATAAGATTCGGCCCTGAATTGCAAGTAAAGCGCAAAGACTCAGCTTGAGGCAAAAGAAGGAACGGACTTATGCGGAGTGGTTTTTAGACAGTGACTGACACTACATCGCGTCTGTTTGGAAGTTGAGAAGAAGGAACTTAAAAGACACACGTTTTTAAAGTTTAAACCCACATGCACAGCCAAACGGTTGTCAGCGAAATTTCTGATCCTATGCGACTTTCAAACCTTCAAAAAAAGAACGTACAACTTAAAAGGCCAGCAACGCTCTAGTGACTGTATGGTGTTGCGGACGTCGACGAGCGGCGCTTATCGCTTGTCGTCCGGTGATGAGACGATCAGTATGCCTCCGATTCCTTAAAAAAATACATACCACAAGTATAATAGGCACGATGTATCTTAGCATCACCAGCCACAGTCTCCCCAGCGGCCGTCCAGTCATGAACTTGATGTCAGCTGATAGCCTGTGAGGGCCATAGGTGTACAGCGCGGCTATAATCTCAAGGCCACAGACGAGAGGAGTGCAGGCTATAGCCACGTGCGCGTCCAGTAGGCTAATCACGTGGAGTCCTCCCTGTTTGCAATATAAATCGATTAAAGCTTACTTATTCTAATTAAGTAATTACTGGAAAATATGTTTCTGGTATTTTATTACGTTACTACGGCGCTTTTCCGGCACTAGGTAGTGTTTTAGGTTAGTATTAGTATGTATATTCACATCTGTAATTAACTTTTAGGGATTTACAATTTTAGACCTTAACTATAGAAAAATACAGGTGAAGCCGTATTTACATGTCGTTACTGAATTGTAAGATAAGGGTTTAGAATTGTTAATTGCTAAAACTTGATTTTGTTGATCAAACAGTACAATGTTCCTAAAAATGAAGCGAAACGTAAAGCTTAGAGTTTAAATTAAATAACAAAAAAAAAACATTTGTTTATAACAAAGTAACGGACACAGACTTAAAATGGAAATCTAGACGATCTCATCGTGAAAAACTACTTCAATTAATAAAACTATAGCTATATGCTCTAACAATCTCCCATTTCCATGAATATCGAGCCATCTACCAAACGAGGTAGTCATCCAGTCATGCATGGGAAACTTTCGAGCGTTGAAGTCACGCGAACCAAACATTCAATTGCAACTTGTGAATTGAATGCCAGCATAAAAAACTACCCCTATTTGCCCAATTCCATTACCAGACTTTCAATTCTATCTCAACAGAAATAAGGCTGGAAATCTTTTGAAAAAAGGGATAGTTTTCGAGTGTATCTACATCTATTTGGTGTGTATTCTGGAGTAAATAAACTGCACTATGAAGACATTTGGACAAACCTCTGTGTTGCAGATGATTGATAAGCTAAACAGCACTAGACAAGTTAGGAATGTGATGAGTTTCTTTCGTGTGCGGCAGGCGGGGATCTCGTCAACTACACCTGATAGTATTGCTTCTATTGTGACGAACTGAAACACAATAAAATAGCATTTAAGTCCTGTTACTTTAAGTTGATATTGCAAATTTGCATGAAGTATATCTACACGTGTTACGACCGCATTTGTATATAAAAAAACAAAATGTAAATAAAACATATTTTGAAGCTATGCCTTATTAACTTTTTTATTTTTATAGAGAATTGTTCAATTTTTTTTTCAATAGGAGAACAAACACTCTCCATTACTAAATTTGACATACGGACGGACAGAAAGACACATATAACGGCTCTACGTATAATCTAATTTAAAATCGCATTTACCTAATACTGCGTCAATGAATTTTCATAAAACTAAACTTTTCATATCCCAAGTAAAATAAATTTATGTACTTAAAAATGTATATACAGACGTGTGCTACTGGAAAACCCAAAAAGATAATGCATCTATTTTTGTCTTAAAATATTACAATAAACATAGATAAAAATTTCACTAAGGTCAAAAATAATAGGTATCACTTATTATGACAACAACAATCACATTAATAGTTGTCATAATAGTTTTGATAAGCGAAAGCGGACCTTAACTTTAAACAATTTGGTTGATTATATTTCAAAATAAATTGTATCATATTATGGATACGTTGTCATTGAAAGGAGAGACGAAAATACAACAGGTCATGATAGTGTAAGTACCATTGAATCAATTCCGAGGAAGAACAACATTACAAAGAAGGTTATAGCCCACAGGTTTGGTGCAGGCATCATGGTTACTGCAGCAGGGTAGGTAATAAAGGCCAGTCCTGGCCCAGCAGTGGCTACTTCGCCCACAGGAACTCCAGAACGATCAGCTGCAAAACCTAGTACGGAGAAAACTACGAACCCAGCAAAAATACTGGTTCCACTGTTTACTAGAGGAATTATTACTGACGACCTGAAAACAATAATCAGCAGTATAAGATTTGAAAGAAAACAACAACAAATGATTATGAAATTCTTTTTAAAAGGAAATAAACAAACCTTAAATTGTTGTAGTGGAATTTATTGAAGCTAGCCATACCCATCAGTCCACCCCATCCAGGGCCTAAAGAATAAAACAACTGCGTAGCCGCATCCGCCCATACCTGAAGAACAATTTAAAAATAAACCACTAAGAATAAAACCACTGAAGTAGGTGAGAGATGAACTTGACCTCATTGTTACTTATAGATACTTACTTTTGGTTTTCTCAATTGCCCCCAATCCGGTAAGATATAGAACAGAATGCCCTTCCAGGCGCCGGGTAAAGTGACGCCGCGAATAAATAAAGCAGTCAGCACTACGTAGGGAAACAATACAGTGAAGTACACGATCTGAGAACAAAAATACAAAACACGTAACGATTCTCCGAATCGAAGGTTCAACGAAAAAATATTATATTTGCTTTGTGATGGACAACGCGGCAGCGAGCCAAAATAATCAACCGGGTTAATTGGACAGCTCACCTTTCCGACGCTTTTGACTCCGTTACAGATGCAGAGGTACACGATGATCCAACAGATGACGTTGCTCCAAAACACTGGCCACACGACACCACCAATATAAGTAATACCCGGAGACATCCGTAGTAGACGATTGCTTGAAGCATGAAAAATATTTAATGACAAAATGGATAGAAAATAGACCGATGGTTTTCGAATTATATTCGAAGTAATAGACTTACTGAAAAAACTCATCCTCTGGCGTAGTAATAGATCCATTCGAGGTAAAGAAACTGTTATTACCGCCGATCTGCAAAATAATTTAGCAATGCAGATACGAGATACGGTTCATGCAAACGAATTGCTTAATCCATAAAACTAAAATTACCCAACCTCGGTGCACTTATCCGTGTTCCAGGAATTGCCACAACTTTGCCAAGGCAGGGGTGAGCTCATTGAGTGATAAATGTACAGCACTGGGTATGACATGATGGCTGAGAAGTACGTTACAGCTATTACGTTTAATATTACGACCGCATATCCCGCTCCTGTCGAGGAAGAACTAAACATAGACATGGGAATCATAATCAAACTGAATGTTATTGCAAATGTTACCTTTAAATAACGGGTTAATGTTGAAAACTGAAATGCATCCCGCGCTAGCGAACTGTCCTAACGTCGTCTCTAAATAAACAAGCGGAATGCCGCAAATAACTAATGTGAGGAAATACGGGATGAGGAATGCTCCTGAAACAAAATTATGTTAATTTTATTTGGGTGTTGGGAGTACATGTGACCAATTTAAGGAGGTCATATAGATTGTAGACACATTTGCGCGGCAGGATAGTGTTGGCGACTATTATTGTGTACTTACGAAACTGTTTAACATTAACTTTAGGAAAACTAGTGTGTAATAGGTGCGGTACCTATATAGTTTTAATAGGTATGTATATCGGTTGATCTTTTACTTTTTTTTGTCCATTGAATACAGCTTGATGACATTAATATTCTTAGATCATCTTTGTTGCGAGTAAAGGTTATAGCTTTGAGACAACTTTTAGTTTACTTATACATTGACTGCTTCTTTAGTAATTATGAGTAAAAGAGACAGTTAGTAACACGGTATTAGCTGCATCAACTTTATACTACAGACTACAGAAGACTCAATTAGCATTACTCACCCCCTCCATTGCGATAACATAAGTAAGGAAATCTCCAAATGTTTCCAATCCCTACAGCGTACCCGAGACATGACAACAGATACTCCGCCTGACTCCCCCAACGCTCATGTGGAGCCACAGCCATTAACACACAAACAATCGACCGTTGGACACTCGAACCGATCTCACACTGGAAGACCGGCCTGTGGTCCACAAATTGAGGATATGAACACTTGCTACAAAACACTTTAATCGAATTAAATAGGGTCCTTATAAACAAGTATTGGTGGGGTCTTCGCAGACCCTGCTAAAAATAAGATCGTTATACTTGTAGTGGAAAGAAAAAATACAAATTCGTTAAAAAATAAAAAAAGATATTAGAAATTATTTTTGCAATTTTTTATGGCTTTTTTTGTGAGGGGAAAATCATTAAATGACTTCTCTCTTCCAGGATGAGGCGAGAAAGTGTGTCAGACTCTTACTGACTAAAAATACCCCGTTCTTTCTCCTGCTCTAGGCCGAGGCCGCGGTGCTTTATTACGCTTGCCCCACAACTCCGGCGAAACATCAGCCCTATAGGGCACCGTCTGTGGTGGTCTATTGGCTCTTTGAGGCGCGCGTGGAACGCTACACGCCGTATGCACGGGTCAGGTTCTCGTCAGGCGGTTAGCTACCCTTACTACCCGCGCTTATGGTGGCCGAAGATCATCTCTCGATCCCCGATACCCAGAGTGTCGCCTACTGCGGCGGCTGGGGCGTGAGAAGGAGAATAGGTCTATCTCTTTCTTTGCAACTGCTTCACAGGAAGAGGAGGCGGTTGCAAAGTTTCTTTTGTTCCGCACCATAGCCTTAACTAAGGCCGGGCGCGAGAGGTCGCCGCCGCCGCCGCTAAGTTCTTCCCTCAGGACACAGCGGTGCTCAGCCGAAGCAGGGCATACCACCACCGTGTTCTCTAGGTGGTCCTCACAATGACGACACTAGGGCGTGTCCTCCCTCCAGATCCGGAACAGGAATCTACCGAAGCTATCGTGCCCGGTAAGCACCTACGTCAGACAGAAGGTGAGAACTGGCGTCTCTCAAGCCACTCCTCAAAGAGGGGTCTTACCCCTGCTATAACAGCGTGCCCGAATTGGTTATCGCTAAAGATGAACTTTCTTAACTCAGAAAAGGGCAATTTTGTAAAAAAAAACTTAATTACTGATGATATAGTTCGTGTATGAATATCATCATGTGGCCAGCATAAAAAACGGAGACATAATACACTCTATCTCAAAAATGCCTTGACCTATGGCTTTAACACCAAAAACACGTGATACAAAATCAACGTTTCGAAAACAGATAAAAATTTATACATTTTGAAATTTGGCAATACAGCTAATCGCTCCTAGGAAATCATTGCTTGATGAAAATTAATAATTAAATTAGATTGTTTATTGGTCAGATTAAAAGCCATTAATTTTTGAGGAGGGGAATTAAATGCGAAATTCTTAAAAATTCTTCCTGACTAGAAACTACTTTGTTCCTTATCATACTCCAAGTCGTGCCGCGGTATATTATTGAACCCTTAACCCTGCGTGGCATTGATCCTAGACTAGGCCCCCTTCTGTCGCTCTGGCCGAAAGTGTCTCGGTGTGGATGAGGCGTATCGGAGCTCACCAAGTAAAAGGAATTGGGAATTGTGGGTCTGGGCGACTCCGATACGGGAAAGGCCGAAGGTAGTGGTTGCCGTTGTCAGACAATAAAGTTACAAAATACCAAAACCGGTTCTAATTGACTCGGACAATTTATCCATGTAAAGTTATGGTCACTTGCTCAGCAGCTAAGGAAATAAAGGAAGGCTGGTTGGTTGAGTTTCTGCATAAGTGAAGCTTAGGAACCCCAACCCCTTAGCTAATTCTGCTACCAAATGGGAAACCACGCAAGTACAAAATGCAGACCAAGGTGTAGCGAAAAAAAAATTCGTGATTGGGTGGTGGAATAAAGAACGTATTATTAACGTGATAAGATGGACATAAAATTGTATTTCCAATCATCCTTTATTTACATTTACATTTTGATCAAATCATGTAGGTACACATATTATGTTACGTTGTGCGTAGCGTATCGATTCCAAATCCAAAATGGCAAGTTAAGAATTCTGGCATGCTTTGTCTGGACCCCATATCACCATCCATCTTCCCTTTGGTAACTTTAACTGGTGCCTGGCTATACTGAAGTACCTGAAGAACAAGAAACAAAGCGTGGATATAAAAGAAATGTATTTTATTAGATATTTACAAATTAATAAAATTGAATTTAAAGAAACTGATTGAGGACGATGATCTCTCCAGTCACCTGCTGGCGTAAAAGATCATTGATTACATAACTAGTATACCTAAATAAATGCAATATGGCTACGATGACGTCATGACGCATTTATAGTATGTGTACGCTACGCAAGGATTTAACATCTAAATATAGAAATCATTGTTTACATTCCCTCGATATTGAGGATATTTCATATATTTCTGACTCATGACTGTCTTGTTGCTCGTCTGTTGTGGAAGGCGCCCTAAAAGCAATGCTAGGCAATATAATTTTCAAGCGGGGTTGCGGGGTAAGTGCAATAAGGCACCGCAACCTCGGCCCTAAGCAGGAGAAGGAACAGGGGGTTTTTAGTCAGTAAGAGTCTGACACTCCCTCCCGCCCGACCCTGGGCGCGAGAAGAAAGTTGATGATTTTCCCGTTACAAAAAAAAAATGCAATATAATTTGAAATTTGACTTGCGAGACTGGCAAAATACTTCGTAATCACAATGCAAGTTTAAGTTCCAGATCGACTGGATGGAAAGAACTAGCCTTCAGCCGCTCTCTGTAACCTTAACGGATTTTAGATTGAAAAAATGAAGTAGTCTAGAATAGTCAACAGGCTCTGAACAGTTTTTAAAAGAATAATACGCATGATATAATGACGTAACGTTATGACTCATCCACTTTTCACCATACAGCTTCGATTACCAATTACATTTTCTTTTCAAGGAAGCTTTTATTAAATCATCTCTGGCCTAGAATCGTTATCATATTTCATATTGATTACTACTTTAAAATCAATAAAGGCATTTACGATACCCATATTTATGGCTTTTTCAAATACATTTCTATGATGTTATGTATATATAAATCATTTGATAATAAATTATACGAAAATAAGTCTGCGCTTTTAAATTACGAGTGAATAAAGAAGAGTATTGCATCAGGTGTGTGCAATAAAAATTGGTTGATATAATATTGAAGTATTTAATATCTACAGTAGGTAAGCAGGCATGATACCTCTTGTTGTTTCCGAAATATTTTAGATCAGACTATAAAATGTGGCATTAGTTTACCCACACCGACGGTAGAAATAAAAAAAATAAGCATGAAAAGGTACCCGGCCTCGGCCTGGGGCGGGAGAAGAAACGGGATGTTAGACAGAGTTAGACATTCCCCCTCGTCATGCTCTGGGCGAGAGAATTCATTTAATGATTTCCCTCTACACAAAATAGCATGAAAAATATTAATAACATGTGTGTATTCGACCTAAAAATACAAACAATTTAGGCGCAGAAAAATACAACTTTTCTCAAACCTACAAAAAAATAGCATACGCATGCAACTTACTTTAGTAGTTCAAAGATCAAGCAGAGTTTATGATGCATCTTTTTATGGATTGTTTTAAGGCTTTTGATCTACTTGCTATTAATTTAATTCTAAAGGCCAGTCTTAATTCGTCAGAATTTATCTCATTTAGTTTGTATTTGGCTTGTCAGTGATACTTACAGCGAGATCTCCATCACCCCAATGTATAGCGTCGTTAGTACCAAGTGTTTCATCCCAATGGAAATGTTGAGATTGTTGGCTCCAATCCGGAGCCCTGAGGGAGCACCTGATCGTCGCCACGTTCACTCTCATCTCCGCTGGTGTTTTTAACGCTGGTATACTCTTCTGTTTCTCTCCTTTACTCGTTTTCGCAGGTGTATAAAGCTGAGTTACGAAAAGCATATGTAATTGCTTTTTGCTTATTTTTTATGTGATATAACGACTAAGGAACAGATTGATTCCGTGATGGTAAACAATCGGCCCGCCCATGGACACTGCCAGACCGAGGAGTTACGAATGCGCTGCTGGCTTTTTGGGGATTAGGGTTGCAAAGATTCATGGATTGGTGGAGACGAAGAAGGATTGCCTTCGGTAACCTCCCTCATACGGCGAAAGACAACGCTGTGGTTGTTTTACGCCGGTTTTCTGTGAGACCGTGTACCACTTCGGTTGAGTCGACCCATTCGTGCGGAAGCATGACTCTCTTAAACACGGTTGCAAAACCGTCAGCAATTTAGCCTGTTAATTTATACCCTGATGGTTTTAAACTTAAGTACTAAGTAAGTGTTATAGAGTACAGCACTTAGAACTCCATAGAGTTGCTATGTGTACCTGGACCGAATAACATGCATAGAGCATACTGGTTTTGACACTAAGCTATCTAATGAATCACTTCCAAAGCCACAGTTTAGGTTTTGTCTTAGATTTTGCTAAAGAAAAGAAACCGTTTAATTCTACTTACAACAGTATAAACCAGTCGGACAGTGATAGTTGATCGGAAAGTATCCCTGAGAGCAACGAGGTCCGGACAGAAGATCTTCACAACGGGCTCGTTGAAGGTCATCAGCTTGTTCCATTGTACCTTGGTGCTCTCGAATGTGGTGTAGTTGTGTATCTCTCTACTATTTTTTGGCACCATATTGCTATAGATGTCGGAACCATGGGATGACTCCTCCTCATGGATTTGATCTGAAGCTGTATTCGTTAAAGAGTTAGTAAACTAGGCTTGTAATCTCCACTAGGCCATAAGTAATGAGACTCCTAGCAGAGCCGTAACAAGAATAATATTTGAATTTATGTGAGCAAAGTTTTTTTGTACTAAGCAAACTAAATATTTTTGTCGACTTTCCGATATCTACAGTTTTCTTCACAGTCTACTGTTCTACAGTCATGGTGCCTGTCAAAACTAACAAAGCAATCTTACGCTTCAGTACAGAGAGCTATGTTACTACTGCGAATTTTCAAAAACACAATAATTATGTTTAAAAATTTGGTACTATTGTATTAAATTAATAATATTAAAATGTAATCAAATATTATATTAGGTAATCTATGTATTTTACGATATGATAATGACACAAAATGCCGTACAGAATTCATTGACTTATGTTTTGTATGTAGATAGCTGTACTTACGTATTTCTTGGAAATAAAATAGACTATTAGATAAGTATGTATATCATTAAATCGATGAATGAAAGTGAAATAAGTAGTTTACAAAAATTTATGACTTTATTATAGTCGAAATAATATTTTAAAGAAAATTATGTACCTAATTATTTGGGTTTATCGAAACAAACAAACCAAATGGCATTGGATTGCTTTGGTAGTTCTAACAGGCGCCGTGTTTGCTACGGCCAACGAGTATTTTATTACCTATTCTTTCCTGACTTATGTATTTAGGACTTACGATAAGAATAATTGTTAATATTTTATTAAAACTGATTACCGTGTAATTTACTAGAAATAACTCTGCTATTTACAGCCGGTATAGAAGCCATTGTGGCAGCATTTCCCCAATCATCGTCTTCAGGTGGAGGCAAAATATCTACGAGGGATTCAGGTCTTCGGAACATTAGGAACTTTCTTCTTACCACGTCCAGTAGTGGCAGTTCCAATTCTACGTGAAAACTCGTAGTACCACCCTATATAAATATGTAATTAAATGATTAATTTAACGTGAGGACTTTTTCTTTAATATATTTGTAAAAATCATAACATTTCTGTACCTTTTCAGGCTTAGGCGGTTGAGGACAAGACACAATTCGAAAAACAGTGAAATGAAAGTAGGTAGACCTCAAATCATCTGGGTGTACTTCCGTAAATTCAAACGGCCTGTCAGAATCTAAAATTTCTCGACAGTCAAGCCATTTTAATTGAGTTAACTTCAGCAAGCAAGATCGGGCATATCCAGAGCTCATCTGGCAAAAAACAATATTACATAAATAGAGAACAATGCCATCTACAGTAGTTGCTTAACACTTTTATAAAACATAACGCACCGCACAAGGGTTCCCGGATAGCTGTAGCGCACTCAAATTTGGCAGTCTTGATACGGCATCTAGTACAGGAGATAAATCATAGATGTCGTTGTCTGCTAAATCTAAAACTGTCAAATTGTGAGGGAGAAATCTAAGAGCGTCGACATTATCTGTAAAAATGTAAATCTGATTAATCACCAAGTGGAAATTAATCACCAAGCTGGAAGAAAGAACTTGGTGATTAATTACCTGTCGAAAGCATGTTACGGCTTAGACCCAAATATAGTAAATCAATAGGTAGAGAATCAGCAAATCCCGATATATCAGAAATACAATTGTTATGGAGTTCAAGAGCTTTGAGAGTTAATGGCAGAAACTTTGCATTCAGCTCCGTTAGCCAATTGGTACATAAATTAAGAGTTGTTAGTTTCTTATATTGAGTCAAACTGTCGTCTAGCTCAGTCATCTGTGAAAGAAATGTTTATTAATTTTTACCTCAGAGATCGGTACCAAAGGATCTGGTCATCTTGGAGAGACCAGGTTGAGCAGATGCATATAAAAAACTTAATTAATCGAGAAATTGAAAACAAAAACAATAGGTAATAAAAGTTTCAACATCTTTTTAGCGTTAATAGACCAAAAAAGGCCTTACTTTTGTTATACTAAGTAGGTGTTAATAAGACACAAAAATATTTTCTGTTAACTATATTTACTTTATAATGTCGCTATATTTTGAATAGGATCTCCAATAAACAACTAAAAAAACCTTGCTAAAACAGAGTCGTAAGCTAAGTTAAGCTTGTCCGTCCTATAAATATTACTCATCGATTTACCAAAATTGAATTTTTATATCATTCATTTATTATTCCGTACGTCGATCAACAATTAACAAAAATGTACTGGCAGTTGAAGATTTATAAGGATAGTTTGCAAAGTACAAATACCAATACCAATGGCCTCTAATGTTAAGCTTCGAGATTAAATTATACCTACAATGTTCCCAAAACTACACTTACATTGTTTCGTTTAAAAAAATCTTTTATATAAACACAATCTTTAATGGAACTCCTTCGTTTTAACTTATGGCCATACTAGCTACCCTCGCGCGGTTTCACCCGCTGCTCAGCTCCATTTGATCGTAGCGTGATGTTTGTTAGCCTATAGAACTCAGGAACATTGTAGCTGTCTCTCAGTGAAAGAATGTTGGCAATCCGACCCGCAGTTCCAAAGATTACCTCCTACATACAAACTTACAAACTTTTACCTCTTTATAATATTAGTATAGATAAATTGTATTTACCTGCATACCACTAACACGTAAGACGTTGACCATCATCAATTCATTTCTCAAAACCCCTCTGTCTCCTGCTTTTACAGCTTGTTCTATTAATTTTATTAAATCGTCAATGATACAGTTTTCATTATGGAAACATGTTTTTCCTTCATCTGTAGCAAACTTTTCCTTATCCCACAACGTTATAGGAAGTAACAATTCCCAATTCTGTTGGAGAGTTAATCCAGAATCATCATTGAGGAATCCACTGATGATACTTTTACTTATTTTCTCTTTCAAGGCTTGGGCAAAGGTTACTTTTGTTGTACTATTTCTTTTATGTTCAGCTTTATGAAAGCGGCAGCTGCTTTCAGTTACTGTCCAATCGATTCCAGTTTCTAATCGTTCTTGAAATCCTGAGGAGATCAAGTGAATAAAAAAAGGGAGGATTGGAATCGAGAACGTAGTTAGGTATTTTTTTATTTACAAGTTTTATTTAACTTGCAAGGTACATATGTATGTTTGTAACACAGAGAAAATGCTACAAATAAATTTTGAAGGGTTGATTGAGCTATAATGTTGTTGTATAGAAACGCGTAGGTACATTAAGAAGCATAAGATAATAAGGCTTTTTTTAAAAAACTCATGCTCATCATGTGCTAAACTACTCGCATTCGTGTTGTGTGAATAAAGAAATGCTTTGATGAATTTATTTATCACTATCCCAATGCTTCCTACAGGCAGCAGCGACCTCTGATAAACCAATAGCTGAACTCTGTCTCCAATAACCTTGGAGATTATTGTAAATCTCTTTATAGAGGATATTCTTAATTCTAGTCTAACAGTGGGCTGATGTTGCCGTACGAGGTGCTGTTGATGATTACAATTCTGGAAATACCTTCTAAAACATCTCCAGGAACAAAAACAAGACTGGATTGACTGATTGCTGGGCGTATAACAGGAGGGGCAGATTTTTTTACGACGTCTACCTTCGACTTTGGCATTTTAAAACGCTGTGTAGCTCAAAACAACAACATTCATATCATTTTTTTTTTATTTACGTAAAAAATGTGTTCGACGTATTATCGGATTGTAAATAGTGCAAGTAATTTAGTTAAATTAATAGGTATCAATATCTCTTTCGGTACACAAAATAAAACAAATCGCCCACAAGTTTGGTTACATATGAAATGACGTTTTTTTGTTTACCCACGCGTTAGCAACGGCAGCGTTGTTGAAGCCTGAAAAGGAAAACTGAAACAGTTTTCATACAACACTCATACAAATCCTTCTTGGACTGGCACCTAGATGTCGGTAAAGCAGAAGGTAAAACTGTGTTTTCCATTCATCCGCTAGGTGTCGCTAGGAGTCCTTCATAGTACAAACTATTTCAATTCTACTTCAAAACCATGCCATGTGGTTTGTTGTCACAATCTGTGGCACGGTTTCGCGACAGACAGCTGCCAAAGAGCACGTCAAATAAAGTTTATTTTGATTAATACGGAATGATAATAAACGAACGAGTATATTATTGTTTTCATGACTCTTGAAGGGTGTTATACAATAACTAACACGAAGTTGTTTATAGTTCCTTAACTAGAGAAGTCGTGTGTGGTATTTCGAATATTTGATCCTCGTGCAAATTCTTGAATGAATTGATTTATGGAGTGACATTGACATGTGATCGCGCGGGAACTTTGAGTTCAGTTCTGTGGTGATCGCGGGTGATATAGCTGCGTTGATCGAAGGATATCTGTGTTGGTGTTTTATCGAAGTTATGTTAAGTGAAAGTAAAGTGTGCAATGCGGTTATGTGGCTTTGGTGACGTTCTTATTGCCAATATATGTGCATGCCCTTGCGAGGTTGGCAAGATCCCATACATGCGAACAATTCCATGTGTACTTCCGGACTTACGGAGTAACAATTAACTTATTTCTTTATCAAGATTTTACGGTAAGTTAACTGCAATTATTTTATCTATTTGTTTATTTAATATTTTTTGCTTTTGTAGTATGTTATGAAAAAATAAATAAGTTTAACGATTTAGTTGTAAATAATATTATTATGATATAAAATAAATAATGTAAACGCACAGTTTACGAATTACTGAATATGTATGAGTAAAAATTACCAAAACATTCGACCAAAAAGAGCTAAAAAATTTTAACGCCGTCAAAATAAAGATTACTTTATGAAATCCCCGATTGATTTAAAGGTCCCAAATAGGGATGAGCTCGCGTTTTCGATTTCTAGGAAGCCCAAATGACTGAAATCGGTGTAGGTAATCTAACAACATAGTACCAATCATGTTAATCGATAATAGGGTGTTTTTTGTTTTTAAATGTACTTAATTAGCTAAGCATATTCTAGGAAACTATTTACAAAATTTGTCAAAGTGTGAGTTGCAAAGTTAGGGATTGTTTTTTAGATATGAGAACCTGTAATTATCACGGCTTTAATATTTTTTTAAATCTTGCACCTGCCACGGATAGGTAATATAGCTGTAATCGATAATGTACTCATTTTTTTATTATAGCTTTCGTGAGACAAACGAAATTAATTATTATGTTTTCGGCTTACTCAAGTAGGCAATTGTTTGACGAGATAGGTACTCGACTAGTTTCAAGCCATGCTAGAGGCCAATATTCATAAGCAGCATTGAGCAGCATACTCAATTACGTGAGTAAGTACACATTTTTAATCGAAAAATGGCTTCAAAACTTTTCTCACAGAAAATCGACGAGAAATAAAACTTGTAACTAAATATTCGACGTAAGAGTAGAGGGCAAATTTTCTCCTCTCACACACTCAACTTCCAAATATCCCAATCATCAAATCATAAACCCACAAAAGGGTTTTTTTGTGACGGTGAAATCTTCAAATGCCTTTTCTCGCCCGCTCGGGTGAGGCGAGAGGGAGTGTCAGACTCCTACTGACTAAAACTCCGTTCCTTCTCCTGCTGTAGGTCGAGGCCGCGGTACCATATTGCGCTTTTCCCACAACACCCCCAAAAGGATAGCAACACATTTTCAGTTTCTGCTGTTGCATTCGTTCATCTGTCGTTCCGGTCCGGATGGCTCGTTAGCCACCCTTAACCCGTGATATGCCGGAGCGCAGATCCATGCGAGACACAATGTTTTTTCTATTGTTTGTCATATACCGGCAGAAAAGAGGTTAACCTATATAAAAAGAGTTACTGTGTGCTTGTTTACGATTTCCAATCTAAAACACAGCACTAATTTCAATGTAGTTGGTGCTAATGTACGTAGATCCGCAATGCATGTCAGCACCTATTTGGAGTTTTTTTCATAACCGTGCTGGGAGATGATAAAATTGGTGAATATTAATTGTATCATCTAAAAATTTTAGGAGTTATTGTGAACACTTTAAAATATGCCTTGAAGATTTAAGATATAAACTCAGGCCATGTCCTACAAGTTAATACGACAATAGAAAAAATAATTTTCTTACTTTCGAAATTAATTCCGCACTAACGGCTAGACAGTCGATTAACCTTGACTTAATTTACCAATCATTAAAGTGGATCTTCTTTTCGTAAGTATTTTGTTGGCATCACTACATAGTATAAAACAAAGTCGCTTTCCCTGTCCGTATGTCCCTAATTCCCTACGTATGCTTAAGTCTTTAAAACTACGTAACGGCGTCGCTAGTAATTTTAGGTATAATTCAAACACTCCTCTCGTTTTCAAATCTTCGAAATTTTCCGCTGACTTTTGATGCATGATATCCATTAATCACCGGTGCAGCACAAAAACAGTCAAGTTATTTATAGAAAAATTAATTACTTGTTATTTTCTCGGCTCATTCAATGTGGTTAATTTCTAGGTAACTTAGGAGTCTGAGATAGTTATTGTCGTGCTTAAGATTACCTTAAGAACGCTTCTACATATAGTTCTTGACAACAATGAATTTAGTTTTTTGCTATATTATGGTAGTTTTCGCGAAAAAAACGCAAATGAAACTATGATCACTTAATAATTTGCATTTAACCAGGTTTTATGCTTTTCTGATTTTCTGTGAGCCTGATTTGAAACCATTTTTTGATTAGAAAAAAAGTATGTCCATTCGGTTATTGATCTATCAATGGAAGGTATAAAAATATATTAAGTTAGTTATAAGTAATTTATGTCTTAATTTTCGTCCCGTACTATGTTTTTGGGGGTTAAAACTTGTTTGTAATATTGTTTTTAATTCCATTCAAGTTATCTTTCAATTTCTATCTAATACTTGTTATCGCAGATCAATTACTTAATTCACGATCTAATCTAAAGAACGTGTATAAATAAACATAAGTACTTATTATTTATACCATTATTAAATACACCACCAGCGTGTTTTGTTATCGTCTGGTTATATAATTATTGAATTGGGTAGTTTCCTAGGTCAATAATAAATTAATTCGACAGCTCAATACAATAAAATATTGAAAAATTACTATACTTTTATTTATTGAGCGATCGAAATACTAAATTTTAGATATTTTTTAGCTAATTTTTAAGAGTTAAGTAAAGTATTTGACGCAAAAAAAGCTATGACGTCATAACTCAGTTTTTCATACAAAATTCATAGATAACATCGATCACTAATAGTTCTTTATTAGTGACCGATGATAGAAAAGTATCGTTTTTGACATTTGGATAAAAGTATTGAATTTGACTAGTTGGAAACTACCGTATTAAATACATGTATATGTATTGATTATGACTTTGATCTTAATTAACCAATCACTAAAGTGTATTAATAAAATCTTAAAATGGTAAAGTTCATCGTTGTAAAACTAGTCCTCAAGGTTGGAATGAACGATGCGAAATATTCCGCTTTAAGAACTCAAAAGTATTTTTAAATGAAATTCTGGCTTCTGTTTGTACATTTTGTAGTCATTACAGCGTCGAATCAATATGTTGTTGAGAAAAGTCACGATCATCAGACTTGAAAGAGAAATTCTATTTAAATATCAATCACCTTTACCAATAGCCATTTATGTAGTTATGTCGTAGGTACTAGGTATATCTACATATACAATACATTCAAGTGTGGGAGAGCTAAGCTTCGGCACGAATGGGTCGGCTCGACCGGAGTGATACCACGGCCTCACAGAATACCGGCGTGAAACAACCCACAGCGTTGTGTTTCGCCGTGTGAGTGAGGTTACCGGAGGCCCAATCTCTCCCACTCCCCTATCCCTTCCCGATCCTTATATCCCCAACCCCTATCCCCAAAAGGCCGGCAACGCACTCGTAACTCCTTTGGTGTTGCGGGTGTCCATGGGCGGCGCCGAATGCTTACCATCAAGTAATCCGTCTGCTCGTTTGCCGACTTATACCATAAATATATATATATATATATATATACTGTTACTAACGTTATAAATATAATTTCTGTACTTACGAAGATTTTCGAATCTTTATTTACCTTTAATTTTCATCACAATCGCACAAAAGGCAATAAAAAACTTAACACGAATTAGGTACGCAAAAAACAACGTCAACGAGCGTCATTTTGCTGTCGTCAGTCAATATTAGTAATAAGGTACTTGTTCTCAATGACGTAACATGCATTAATTAATACTTAAGTATAGGGGGAACCACTCAATTACAATACTTTTATCAAATCCAAAAACATATTTTTTCACTTTTTTACTACTTAGGGATCTAGGGATACGAGTTAGTGATCTCAATATTATTAAGTATAAAAAGTACCTAAACTGTGAAGAAAAATTAAAAACAAAACGAAAGAATAAGTAGGTAAATTTCTTTAAGACCGCCACAAATATAACTAAGAATATGTTTTTTTTAAACATTCTTTGGACTCCAACCAATATATTTTTAAGTCCAAAATGATCCAAAACGGACTAGCTGTTCCTCAGTTTTAGCAAGACTAAAAAGAACAGCCATTCATTTTTATATATAATATAAGAAGAAGAAGACATTGTTTGTTTATTACCGGTAAAGAGATCAAACATTACGTCAATAATTATGATTATGTAAAACAGGACCAAGATTTTATTTTGATCCTTATCGGAAAACTTAGCTTTCATTGCATTAGAGTATATTATCTGTATGAGCGAATGACCAGATTTTTTGTGGTGGTATAATTTATTTGCCACCATTTCTTTCTATTTAAAAGAAAGGAACATATGAAAAAGCAACGGCCAAATTTTTGCCATCGCTCTCTCACGCATACCTGGGAAATTTTGAAACTCCACATACACATTTATAAGTAGAAACGATTACCCTATCCATATTTAATACAACATTATATATACATTGTCCACAGGTTAAAATACCAAAATGCCGTTCACAATGAAAGAAGGGGGTTTTGGGGTGGGTGATTACGCGGTGTTTGGTGTACTCTGCGCTGTCTCATGTGCTGGTGGCCTGTGGTATAGTGCTATCGGGTCCAAGGCCCAGAAAGTGGTAGACGTCAAAGACTATCTCCTTGGAGGACGAGCACTCTCCACGTTTCCAGTTGCCATGTCTCTGATTGCCAGGTAAGTTGTAACTTGTCTTTTTTTGGTACTTATCATAATATTTGCCATTATGTTACTCGAAGCTTTATCCACAAAAGCAAACAGGGACCCTACATCGCTTTCCAGTCTTCTAACTATCCATATATTCTAATTATACTAGATTTTTTTTTTGTGTGGGGAAAATCATCAAATGACTTCTCCCGCCCAGGGCCGGGCAGGAGGGAGTGTCAGACTCTTACTGACTAAAAACCCCCCTGTTCCTTCTCCTGCTCTATGCCGAGGTCGCGGTGCCTCATTGCGCTTACCCCGCAACCCCGGCTGAACATCAGCCCTTTAGGGCCCCGTCTGTGGTGGTCTAATGGCTCTTTGCGTCGCGCGCGGAACGCTACGCGTCGTACGCTCGGGCCTGGTTCTGGTCGGGCGGCGAGCTGCCCTTACTCGCCGACCGCAGGCCCGTGCTTACGGTGGCCGGAGATCGTCCCTTGATCCCCGACGCCCGTAGTGTCGCCAGTTGCGGCTGCTGGGGCGTGAGGAGGAGGATTGCTCACGCGGGCCGCCTCTCTCTTTGCGAGCATGACTGCTTCTCAAAAGGAGGAGACGGCGTCCCAGTTCCTCTCACTCCGCACCATGGCCTCGACTAAGGCCTTGAGGATACGGCGGTGCTCAGCCCAGGCAGGGCATACCGCTACCGTATGCTCCACCGTATCCTCTATAATTATACTAGATACCGTGCGAAAATCATTCCATATAACTCTGTTCCGACGTGACGTGAAAAAAGCCAAACATGCTAACGTACATACCTACTTACATACTATGAGTATGAACTGGTTTGTCCTAGGTTGAGCCAAGTATGTACGAGTTGTATAGGTATAAATGCCTTACTGACCTTAAATTGTCGAGTAGGATATTTATTTATCCATATGTATTTACTTATATCATTATCAATTTATATTCAAGACTATAAATACCAAAAGCCACGACTATTTTAAACTCTTTAAAATTAAAATATAAGTTAAATATCGTTAATTTTTGGTAAATCCGCTATCTGCAAACACCTTGAATGCAAAAACGCCGTTTTGTGTTCGTTATTAGGACTTATTTTTGCCAAGCCAGGGCTCAGGATCGACACATTATGTCCATATTTACCATTTTCACCTGAAATCAGCCGGCGTTAGCGTAATGTGGCACTGCTGCCTCGGCCTAAAGCAGGAGAACAAACGGGGGTTTTTAGTCAGTAAGAGTCTGACACACTCTCTAGCCTTGCCATGGGCGGGAGAAGTCATTTGATGATTCTCCCCTGACAAAAAAAAACCTATTTACACAATATGACCATCTTTTAAATGTTGTCCTCTTTCTATTTTAGTATCTAGTGCCTATTTATCAATGTATAATTTCCACACCACTGATATTATTTCAAAATATTATTTGTGTAGCCTTGAGACAGTAAACAGTAGCAGCTGTTTTTCTACTCCACTATCAAGTAATGACACCATGACACTAATTCCTTAATGCAATTAATTTTTTGTGACCCACTTGCGTGGTATAGTGATACATAGTAATCATGATGATTGTTCACTAAAATTATTGTTACTTTAATTAAATGTAACTGTTATTTTACTCTGTTATGACATGAACTATATATTTTTTTGAAAATGTGAGTGGTGGCTGGAACATGTGGCACCCGCTTTTAAGGGTGCAAAATTCGGAACAACCAAAGTTCTAATTAATGTTAAACTGTACAATGTACACTGACAAATGGTTCAGTAAAACATCATGAGTAAACCTGGACCTATAATATGTCTGTTTGTAATCGCCAACCAGCCTTGAGCAAGCGTGGTGGATGCTCAAACAATCTGGTTTGACAAGAAGCCTTTTCTTCTCCAAAGCAGGAGAAATTGTTGGATGACTTCCTCCTTCTAAAAAAGCAAATAGGCTAATAATGTAATGTTAAAAAGCAGCCTATGTCTTAATCAAAGGTATCACCTTTCTACATACCGACCAAATTTTAACCAAATCGGCCCATCCGTTTTGGCGTAAAAAAATAACAAATATAAATTCTCACAATTTTTTACATTTGTATTAAGTAAGATTAATTATATACTTTTTGTTGCAGTTACGTCTCTGGGGTGACGATATTGGGGACTCCAGCTGAGATATACAACTACGGCACTCAATACTGGCTGGTGGTGATTGGGGTGTCCCTCAGCTGTATAGCTGTGGTTACGATATACTTGCCAGTATTTTGTACACTTAGGCTATCTTCTTCTTATGAGGTATGTACAGACATATGTAGTGTAGATCTACTATTTGTTGTGTGTGTTATATGTCCATGTTTGATTCATTCATACTTCTGGGGACATTCTGTATAGAATTTCACTCTTGTGACCTTTTGATTTGCGCTAGTGCTAAATCAGCAACTTCTGAACTCATGTCAAGGCATTTTTTTTCTTTGTAATCCTACTTTCGAATTAATGATGAATAATTCTACAGATTTATTAAGAGTGGTATAAGTGGTAGATATCCAGAGTTATTATCAATTCGAATTATTACAAAGTCATGCATCTATTGTTATGTGTAGGCTTTTTAAATGTTACTGCTATCTGTTCCGGGTTCCGGATAAAAGAGATAAACTTTATGACAGATAAAAGTACTGTGAGATAAATAATATCTCAAACTTTGCACGTTTACCTTTTCAATCGGTGCTCAATAGAAACAGAAATGGTTTCTAATCCCTTGTCCTTTTAAATCACTGATAAATTTTATAATCAGACCATAAAGCAATGATGTATCATTAATTTAAAAGGCCTAACATTGTATACGAATGTTAAATTATTAACGTTGTACAATCATCTCATTGAATTCCTATAATTTATCTCTGTACTAGTAGATCTTATCGCTATTAGGTAATCGATCATAAATTGACAACCATTTTGAAGTGGACTTTGCTCCGTAGAGTAAAAAAAGATCTGCGCGATATGAGTGCGTTTGCACTTAAAATTAATGTTTACATAGTTTTTAGTGTTCTACAAATATATAATTATTATTCTGTAGGTAATTAGAAATTTTGCTCAGTGTTCCAATATATCACAAGTTATGTTATTCGGTTTACTTTTAATATAATAGCTCTAATATAATATGTTATTTTTATCCTTTATATATTTATATCCTTGCCTCATATGCCCAATTGTTGATATACTAATACTACTGTACATTATGTTTAAAATGAGGAATGTGAGACTAAAAAACTAAATAACAATTAATATAACACTTCCGCCTTCACTGTTTATGTTACAATTATACTATTCGTTAGACTCTTTACTTACGTTCTGGTGTTACGAGTAATTTCGAACTCAACCGGAGCCCTAAGTCATAATTGATATACGCTGTGAATGATTTCCGTTTAAGTAATTATAACGGATAGTAATTTTTTATTCCTCACAATACATATACATAGTTTATTAAAAACTTTTTATGTGCCCTGTGAAATGGAATTATGTTAAGGGAATACATACCTAATTATAAGTATTTTGAAATTTTATTTGTTTTGTTTCAGTACTTAGAGTTAAGGTTTAACAAGAATGTTCGGGCAGCTGCCTCGGTATTGTTCCTTCTTGATGAGGTAAGTGTCACATTATTACATGATATAGTTTGTATAAAGAACATATCGACATTACTTTACATTTAACATTAATCAGGACACTAGATAGACAGATAAATAGTTCTCATTTGTTTTTTTTATGTCATTGGTTGGCAAACGAGCAGGCGGATTACCTGATGGTAAGCAATCAGCGCCGCCCATGGACACTCGTCATACCAAAGGAGTTCCCACAAGTGCATAGACGGTCTCTTCTGGATCCTTAGGGATTTAATGATATGGGAGAGCTAGCCCATTCGTGCCGAAGCCTAGCTCTCCCACACTTAAACAGATAATAAAAATATAAGATGATACTTTGAAATAAGTGTAGAATCGAACAATTCTGAATGACTAGATACTTAGAGACCATAAGTAACTATTTACTTTACAAAGTGTGACTTTGATGACGTAATTAACAAGCCTTGATGTCACATTTACTAGGAAACTTAGCAAAAAGTAAAATAAGTGGCATTGTTATCATAAACAATAAATATTAGTTAGTCATTGTGTTGCGATTTAGTTAGCACTGATTAATTAACTGAGATCCTTGATAAAAGCAATGAAAATTTTATTCTGAAAATGTTAAGTCAATCCGGCGTTCAAATAGATTTACTTCAAAGCGTTTTTACTACTTTTTAGTACTTCATAGATTTTACTTATAAGCGCCCACTGATGGGCCAAGACTCATAGGATATAGGAGCAAGAACATTCATCACTACACTTGATCATGGCGGATTGGCAATTTCAAACTTAACATATGTAAATATAAGTCCCTGTATACATTTTAGTGTCATACATCATCATCATCATCAGCCTATAAGTGCCCACTGCTGAGCAAAGGCCTCTTCTCACACGGAGAAGGTTTGAGCATTAATGACCACGCTTGTTCAATGCGGGTGTGCGATTTCAAACTTATAATTAGTAATTATAAGTCCAGGTTTCCTCACGATGTTTACTTTTACCGTATGTCAGTGGTGTCTAAATAATCATAGAAAGTATATATAACTCGGAAAAAATCACATTGCCAGGTTTCGCACCCATACCCTCATGCATGAGAAGCGGGCTCCTTAATTTTCGGGTGACCACGACATAGTTTAGTGTCATACGCTATTGTATTATTTAAGATAATAGCTTCTATTAAAGTAATAATTATTAATTTAGTATTGTTAGGTAGATAATATTGTTTACGTATATAGTTATGGTCATAAATTTATAACTACATACTAGCTTCTTAAACGAATTTGATTAGTTTTTAATTATGAAATCAATTTGAGATTAACTATTAAATTGAAAATCGTATGTGAAAATGAAGCTGATAAGCAGTTACCTAAATACAAGACATAATAACATATTAATATGTTTGTTCCTCTTACGTAAAAACTACTTTTTTTATGAAAAAGCCCTACACTAGAATTTTCTCCTGTGTCATGGGTGCGGTTACAAACATACAATTTCACATATACATGACACCCAGACCCGAAACAACAATTTGTGGATAACACAAACTGTTGTTCCGTGCGGGAATCGAACCCGCGACACGTTGCACGTCAGCCAGATGCCCAGCCACTGCACCAACCGTGCAGTCGTATTGAATGCATTTTGATGAGCATTGGGGCAAAGATATACCCATTGGCTACTATTCATCGGTATAACGCAAACAAAGCTATTTGCTGAAGGCTAATTAATATATTTGTCACCATCCATCTCTTATTTTTTTGCCAGAATCGAAATTACCAACTAATAAATAAACGATTGCGATCTCTTATAAACGCAGTTGTTGACGATGATTGATAAAAATCTTTATGGAAATGAAGGATACAGGTTCCTAGTATTTTTTACATAGTTAAACAGCAGTGATCGTAAGAAATAAGTTTGTTTAGAATCAGCAATTCTTATTAGTGAATGTGTGTAAGGTCGTTCGCATCGCTGACTCTTTGGACTTTGACCGGTGTCGATTCGAACGTATTCGAACGTACAGAATCAACATCAATTGTCTCTGTCATACCGTGTCGGCGGAACTGCGCCTGCCAGCTACATTCACAAACTCTATGGAAAATTTTAAATAAAACCTTTTTTTATGTTTTATGTTAATTTTGACCAATGGGACAATGGGACAGACGCTAGTTTTTTTTTGGTGGAATATATTAAAATACGTAATGTAAAGATAGTGATCTGATTATTTAAAATTATAATGTACTTGGTTTGTTTGATTGAGAAATGAGGACTGTTGTTGAAATACTTTAAAAATTGGAAATACTTACATGTCTTCCAAATAAATTCTATACTTTTTTTGGAACGACATATTATGTAAAAAAGTGTTATTAATGGAATATAACTATTGCCTGATTGTATTATGTATTTTTCCCGTATTACCTGTTATAGGTTCAAAATGAAAATAACATACTTTTAAAACAAACTGAATGAAATTGACGTTCTTATTCGCTAGCCATTTGCCAAGTGTGCATTGAGAATTAATTTATTTTAGGCTTAACCAATTAAATGATTACGTATTCAAACTATTTGGAAGTATAATTTTGTTAAGGTTCATTAATCTATGAAAGAAAAATGGATTTCTTTCTTTGATCTGGATATGATTATGGGTCCATTCTACTCGCATAAACACGCGTTTTTTCGTCGAAGGGTTAAGCAGAGGTGCAGCAGCAAGATCCTAGAACTAGTAGTAACTTTTGCTTTGACTAGTACCTAATGTACCTTATACGTAGGTACCTAATTTCAAAAATTTTATTAGGAAGTTATCGAAGGAGGGCCATTAGCGTTAGTCATTTTTACTACGTAATTGCACATATCTACTTTGAAGGCATTTATTTGCATTTCCCTGACTGTTTTATGATGTATGCATGTTCAAAAATTTCATTGATAAACAACACCTGTTATGTTAGTAGCGACGTACGGTGGCGATACGTCGGCCACAGACAGTCACAACTCAAAAGCGAGTCGTGACGTCACACACGTGTAGAAAGCGATCGTTGCAAATACGATGGAGAATTATATATTCGCCTTATGGTAGGCGTTGAGTTTTAAATAATAATATTTTATTATTATAATATAAATAACACTACATTTTATTCTCTGAAAAGGCTGGTTGGTTTAAATTGGGCTATTGGCCAAATTTAATATAGTTGTGATTATATTGTCCGATCCGAATCCGTCAGAATCAGGTTTTACTCGGACAGAATTCAGATATTCCTTCAAGGAAAATTTGGTAAAAGCCATGCTTCGTTGCGAATGGGTCGGGTCGACCGGAGCGATGCCACGGCCTCACAGAAAACCGGCGTGAAACAACCACAGCGTTGTATGATGAAACTTTAATCCCCAAAAGGCCGGAAACGAACTTTTATCCTCCGTTGCATACGAGAGAGAGATCATAACCAGACCCGAGTGTACGGCGCGGAAGCGCGGCCTCGGCCTAAACTAGGAGAAGGACCGGGGTGTTTTTAGTCAGTAAGAGTCTGTTACTCTCTCTCACCTCACCCTGGGCGGGAGAAGTCATATGATGGTTTTCTCCTGAGAAAAAAATATCCTCATTTATTGCGGATGTCCATGGGTGGCGTTGATTATTTACCATAACATACATAATCAGTCTGCTCGTTTGCTGTTTATTCTTCAGATTCGAAACGCTTTTACGGCGAGAATTTCGAACATCAAAAATTTGCAGCAAGCACTGCTTTATTGCTTTCAACTAGGTATATGACCAAACGTCACAGTTTACTTTTCAATCTATTTCAATAGAATTTGCGACAAGGTTGTTAAATCGTTTTGGACTTTGACCGACACAATTTGCTGCATGTTATAAACAATGTACAAAGATTACAATGGTCAATTGACCACTTGGGATTCGTGTACATACATATATGTAATGAATGCTTTAATAAATGTTTCAAAATATAGCCGGATTGTGTCTATCTGTTTCTAGACATTGTCTTTGTGATTCGATAGTATGTTTATAATTAACGCACTGTCTAGACATTTGGCAGACTATACTAAACTTTGTAAACACGTGTACGAAATGGCAAAGCGTTTAGTTTAAAAACTCGAGGCCTAAATCAGTCGCACGATGCTTCGGATTTTTTTTGATGTGGAAGACCATCATATGATTTCTCCCCTCAGACGAGAGGTGTCGTCTTAACAGTAATTCGAAGCGCGGCCTCGGCCTGGAGCAGTATAAGGAACGGGGAGTTTTTAGTCAGTAAGAGTCTGACATTCCCTATCGTCATTCGCTGGGCAAGAGAAGTCATTTGATGATTTTCCCCTTCACAAAAAAGGCCCGTTTTGGTGCACATTTGGGACATAGACACACCCACAACGTATTCAAACTTTGTTTATTTACGTATTAAAAATTAATGTGCTACTGCTAGCTGTTCTATACTTATCTCCTGTTTACATTGAGAGTTGATTCCTTTTTCAAATTTTAAATCCAGTGTCTTACATAACATGACATGATTGGTACACGCATCTAAATACTCTAATTAATAAGTCTTACTGGTCCAAACAATATAATATTTCCGCATTCAGACCTAATAACCTACACTTGTACCTCCTAGATTAATTCATCATATTGTTTGTGCCAATATAATTGCTGGTTCGGTATTAAACCATCGAATCACGGTACAAAGATCGGCTGTGTAATTACTGACGCGTACGTAAGAACTTGTTATTGTTTCCTTTATCATTATTAGTTTAAAAGAAAAAAATCGAGAGAGAATAGAGAATAATAAATTTTTCATCTGTATTTTTAGTGCGTATGACACCAGGTATTTTGTTAAACTTAAAGCTTACTGACACACCACACATCACAAAATGTAAATAAATAGATTTAAAAGCTTCTTCTAGATCATATCTCATTAGACGTATGAAAAGCCTTCCTTCATCATCAGCATTAACCTGATTTCGTTAACTGCTGGACATAGGCCTTTTCAATTTCACGCCACTGAGCTAGATGCTGCAGCAACCGCTGCCAGACACCCTACAGATATCGGTAATCCACCTAGCTCTACACTACGTTTCTTTTTAACCGACTTCAAAAAAAGGAGGAGGTTCTCAATTCGATTGTATTTTTTTTTTTTTTTTTTTTTTTTATGTTTGTTACCTCAGAACTCCGTCGTTTATGAACGGATTTGCAAATTTTTTTTTATGATTGAAAGGATATGCTTCCAGATTGGTCCCATTCTTTTCAAAATCGAGTTTTGATGATGGGATCCATGAGAAATCGAGGGAACTCCTCAAATATTATAGGTAACTATATAGTAATTTTAATATTTTCATAGAGCACTCAAGCATTTACAGTCAAAAAGTAATATTTGATGAGGTGGAACTGGTGAAGAAAATCAGAAATGGGTGATGAAACTTGACACTCGCATAGATATCACAATCAATGTAGTTAAGCAACTATGAAAATGCGCTATAAACCAATGATCTTAAATAATTATGTTGGAAATGACGAACTGATCTAATGATGATGATGGAGCTGGAAGGTAGGCATTGGAACTGCGTACCTAATTAATATATCCTAGCCGTGTTTGGGCTTGTTAGAATTGTTATAAGATGCACTTTGGCTGTAAGGTACTATTGAACTGATGTGATGATGAAGCTGGAAGGTGGAAGGTTGGCATAGTAACTTCAAATTAAAATAATGCATCCTAGCATTGTTTAAGCTTATTAGAGCTGTCAAGGGCAATGGAAAAGGCTATGCTCGGAGTTTCCTTGCGTGTTTGAATCAGAAATGAAGAAATCCGCAGAAGAACCAGAGTCACCGACATAGCCCGAAGAATTGCCAAACTTAAGTGGCAGTGGGCAAGGCACATTGCTCGTAGAACAGATGGCCGATGGGGCCGAAAGGTTCTAGAGCGGCGACCGCACACCGAAAGACGCAGCTTTAGAAGGCCATTCCCACAAGGTGGACCGTCGACCTGGTGAGAATCACAGGAACGCGTTGGATGCGAGACATACAGAATCGGTCGTTGTGGCGACGCTTGGGGGAGGCATATGTCCTACAGTGGACGTCTTCTGGGTGAAATGACTATAAAGTGCCATTGAAAATCTAGTTTTGATATAAGCATCAATGTTTTCACAAAACAAACTACAGAATATTAAAAGCGTTTATGCTTTAATTCTAAAAATAACGTAAGTTCTATTATTCACTAAAATTTTACTCTTAGTAGTATGCACACGTTTCCACGCCACCTATGAGGTAGTGTGCTAGGCGCGTTTTTTTTTAATGTGGTTTCCCCGGTAGGCCTATTCCACAATCAATTTTATTGAAGTTTAATGATATTTTAAGTCATCATATAAGTCAACTTCGTCTCATCTTCCTGAACCGACGTACATATATTGGTCGAATTAGCTATTACCAATTAACTATGATACGGCTAGAGAGTTATATAATATTTAATGGCAAGTTATGTGTTGCCTTGATTGTCAGATGGCAGATTCCGCAATCTTGTTATCTCAGTCATCGCTCGATCATCATGTGGTCGATTCAATAATTTGTTGGCGTCCAAATCTGATAAAACTATGCCTTCCAAACTTCTGACACGACTTACAATTGATACAAATCATGTATGTGTTTAATAATAATACCTAAAAAAGGTTCAATTGCAAGAACTAATTTGAATTTATGAAAGGATTATTTTTTATTTTAACTATAAGAATCATAATTATTTCATGCATCATATCATCTCTACACGAGATCAAAACGATAACACTGTAACAATGTACCTATAATATATATTCCTACTCATATGGACATTAATAACCTTTTCAAAAGAAATGTAGGAACGATATTGACTTTTTTGCCATAACACATTAGAATAAAAAACACTAAACGGCAAAAAATTTTTACAAAAAAAAAACCGCCTTCAAAAAAAGTCAGACGATAAAAGCTCTTACACTAAAAAGTAAAAAATAAAAATTGGAATTGCTGTAAAGAAACTTAATTTATAGGTAAACTTATTTGACATTGATATTTTGCAAATATTCAAAATTTACTTATTACTTATTTTTGGAGTCGGTGCCAGCCTGGGCAAGGAAATACGAATGGGCAACAATCCCTTGAAAAACTACCTCTAACTTAATTATAAAACTACTTAAGTAATACCTATTTGCTATATAATCAAATATATATTAATTAAGACATGAAAACAGATTAGACTTCTCTAAAAAAATACCCGATTTGCATTTTTTTTAAATAAAATATATATGCTTACAAAACTTCTACCACTTTTTAAGTACATTCAAAATGTTTAAAGATTGTGTACAAAAAATGGCACCGGATATTAAAAAGTTAACTAACATTAAGTTTCAACAACAAAAATGCTGGCACCGACTCCAAAAATAAGTAATAAGTAAATTTTGAATATTTGCAAAATATCAATGTCAAATAAGTTTACCTATAAATTAAGTTTCTTTACAGCAATTCCAATTTTTATTTTTTACTTTTTAGTGTAAGAGCTTTTATCGTCTGACTTTTTTTGAAGGCGGTTTTTTTTTTGTAAAAATTTTTTTTTCTAAGTCTTCATTGCATTAAATAAAATAATTAACATGTAAAATTTAGTAACATGTGTGTCTCAAATATTTGCTAAAAACATATTTAAAAATATAAAATAAGTTTTATATATAAAGTTTTATTTGTTATATATTTCCCATTTATTTTGTTCTAGGTACTATTCCTGCCAATGATTGTCTACGTTCCTGCATTAGCGTTTAATCAATGTAAGTTAACTAAGTTATATTAAAATATAATATTAATTAATAGAAAATAAACTATATAAGTACAGTTTTTACGACATGTTTTCCAAAGACAGATGAATTTAATCATATTTTATTTGCTGTATTTTTAATGTATTATTTCCTTAGTAATAATTATGCTGAAATATTATTTAGCAGTAGTTTTAAACTTTATATTTTATATGTATGTTTTTAAAATTTATTTTCAGTGACGGGTTTCAGTGTTTTTGCCGTAGCTGGTACTATGGTTACAATATGTGGCCTGTATACTGTATTAGTGAGTAGATTTGTTTTTTTTTATTATTTTATTTATTTATTAGCTTGATTTTATTTTTTAAGTATATCATTAGTTTTAGTCGTAGTATAATGAGGTGAGGTGACTACACTGGAGTGGAAATATCTTATTTGAATCTCACCTTTTGATTACCAGTTAGGAATTATGTACTTGGCTCGTTTTTCGTACTTCCAATAGGTATGATGATAAATTATGAAAATAACAAAAGCCAGACAATAAAAAATATTAAATACGTATCTTATTTATTTTATAGTGAAAGAAAATTACCTAGATATTATATAAACGAATTTAATATTTGGAAATGGAACGTTCGCTACTTTTCCGCGCAGTCCACTCAGTAAAAATATATCTATCTACTAAACTGTGACGTCACACGATGTTTCAATTGAATATAATATCTAAAGTAAGTAAGTATTTGAATCTGTGAGAAAAGAAAACGCATATATTTTAAAAACATTAGACACGTACTAATGTTTTTAAAATATGGACCTTAAAAGAAAATAGTCGTCAACCCACTACGAAATGAGAAAGATGTTTTAAAACAATAGCCTATGTGGTACACGCTTAATTATATAATTTATACATAGGTAGTTACGGTATTTGACCACTAGTCAAAGTCAAAATTCAACTTTTTTTATTGGAATGTCAAATCCAACACTTTTCTATGAATTTTTATGAGATACAACTTTTAATGTCATAAATTGAGGTTCAGGGGTTAAGGACAATCGGGCACGCTATTATAGTAGCGGTAAGACCCCTCTTTGAGGAGTGGCTTGAGAGACGCCACGGCGTCCTCACCTTCCGCCTGACGCAGGTGCTTACCGGGCACGGTAGCTTCGGTAGGTTCCTGTTTCGGACCCAGTGGAAGGAAACGCCCGAGTGTCGTCATTGTGAGGATCACCTGGAGGACACGGTGGAGCATACGGTGGCGGAGTGCCCTGCTTGGGCTGAGCACCGCTGTGTTCTCAGGGAAGCGATCGGCGGCGGCGACCTCTCGCGCCCGGCCTTAATCGAGACCATGGTGCAGCGTGAGAGGTGGGAAGCTATCTCCTTCTGCGAAACAGTTATGCTCGCAAAGGAGGAGGCGGAGCGCGCGAGGGAATTATCCTCCGCGCGCCCCAGCCGCCGCAGAAGGCGACATTCCGGGCGTCGGGGATCGAGAGATGATCTCCGGCCACCGTAAGCGCGGGTCTGCGGACGACGAGTAAGGGTAGCTCGCCGCCGGACTAGAACCAGACCCGAGCGTACGGCGCGTAGCGTTCCGCGCGCGCCTCGAAGAGCCAATAGACCACCACAGACAAGGCCCTATATAGGGCTGATGTTCAGCCGGGGTTGCGGGGTAAGCGCAATGAGGCACCGCGACCTCGGCCTAGAGCAGGAGTAGGAACAGGGGGGTTTTTAGTCAGTAAGAGTCTGACATTCCCTCCCGCCTGACCCTGGGCGGGAGAAGTCATTTGATGATTTTCCCCTCACAAAAAAAAAGGGGTTAAGGACAATACCGCGTCCCCGACCTGGATCAGGAAAAGGAACGGGGACCACCCTGTGAAAAACCATTTAGTTAGTAAGAGTCTGACACTCCCTCTGGTCCAAGGGCGGGAGAAGTTATTTTATGATTTTCCCCTATAATAACATGCCATTATATTTACTTAATTGATAAAAAGTTTAATCATTTCTTTCTAAATGAAAACGAAAATGAAGTTTATGGTTAAAATCAATGAATGAAATACGATTACTTTTTAACCGACTTCCAAAAAAAGGTGGAGGTTCTCAATTCGACCGTATATATAGTATGCTTTTTTTTGTATACTTAATTGTATTAAAAAAAATTACTCAGTTTAATACCCAATTGAAGTAGGTACATAGGTACATATGTCGCTCTGGTAAATTCTTATGAGAACAGCGTGTTTTAAATCAATTTAAAATAAGTACCTGTATGTCCTCTTGCATGGCTAACGACTATAATGGCAACGATTTGATACACGTGACAATCAATGGTGTTTTTTATTGTCATTTCTAGCTAACATGAAATAACTGTAACTTATTTTAATTTGTTTAATGAAGTAAATAGTTCATACAAATTGAGTTTTTTTTTGGTACATGACTGCTTTTCAGAGGTAGTGAAATAGGTGGTCTTAATAAATTGGCAAACTTCTTTTGTCAAAAAGATATTATTTTAAGATAAAAAACGATAAAAATACGCTCACAAAAATCACGAATTTTTTTGACACCTAATTCAAGAGAAATAAGTATGTTATTTGACGCTGTAATATTATGATGTCACAACGTGCTATTTCATACAAGACTAGACGGAAGTTTTTAACATTTCGAAAATTTGGTACCCTATTGAATTTGACTAGTTGGAAACTCTATACTTTACTTATGCTCTTGACTGATATTACCTATTGACTTAATATCTCTAACTAATGCCCGGTTTCCGAAAGCCCGATCAATGTTAAAATCAACTAACTAGGTGTCAAATCTCTTGTCAAGTCATCCAAGATTGGTTGTTGATAATTCAGTCAGTCAGAACATTGATCGGCTTTTCGGAAACCGGGTGTTAATCTCAATCTTTATGATTTTTTTTTTATTAGTTTTTCTAACGTTACAGCAACTCATACTAGTACCTATTTTGTTTTAAAGATGTGACAGAGTATAAATTACATATATTGCGGAAAACAATTAAAAACAAACAAAATATAATTTTGTCATAATATGTAATAAACATATTTTCTCAATAGACAATTAATATACATATTAATATAGTCTTAATGATTTTTTTCTCAGGGTGGATTAAAAGCCGTGGTGTGGACGGATTCAGTGCAGACCGGAGTGATGTTCATAGGAGTGATCCTAGTGGCGGCCGCCGGAACGATTGCCGTCGGCGGCGTTTGGGAGGTCATCGACATTGTCAACGAAACCGGACGATTCGAATTATCCAAGTACGTTGAAGCTTAGGTACTACACGATAATTAATTGATCGAAGAATATGTTTTATATTCGGAAATTTTGATATTATTTGAGGTTGACTATCCACTAAGAAACCATGGAACTGTCTTCGGAAAATTGTGAATTCAGTGTCACAAATATATTATTTGCTATATACTTAATGGTACACCACATCGTTATAGGATAACTTACAAAAATTAAGTGTACAATGGGTGGATTGGGCGGTCTTATCTTACCTTTGGATAAACTGTAATATATGGGTTGTCTAGTTTACAATGTAAATATATTCTTATGTAATATATTAGTTACATAAATATTACTCACATAAAACAAGATTTTGAACAGCTCGTATCGCAAAAAAATAATGAAAAACCTAATGAAGACGTCTGTTTTTTACATATAAATTATGAGACCTTGAAATAAATGTACCAACCGCACCCGCTAATGAGTTTACCAACTGCATTTGCCATTAATCAATGCCTATATGTATAATATACGTGCATATGTATGTATTATATGTACAATACAATACATATACCTTCCACGGAAGTGTATTACTTATACATACCTACATTTGTAGAAGTGCCTATTGGTTCCGGCTTACAACTACACAATATATGCATAAAGATACGTCAATAAGTACTTGAGTTCTATGATTAGTCATATCACAGTCAATGTGAGAGAGAGATAAGATACAAATTAATACTACATACAACTATAGTCTGATAAAAGTAAAAGTGTGTCTATCTTAAGCATCGATTTCCACCTGTCAATCGAAATATGTACTTATCTGAAAAATTCCGCGATATCTAAATTCAAGGTTTTGTATTATCTGTCGATGATTCTTCGTGTTGATTCCGGCATGGTTGTGTTGCCATGGTAACCAATGACGTTACTGTTTTAAGTAGGTAACTTTAATCGCATTAACATAGTAATATTCTAAACCTTAAGATTTAGGGTTGATTTTTCAATGGTTAGATAAAAGTTACCTGGGGAATCATAATTATGAAGCTGTCGCGTCAGAAAATTTATGATAGCAACAATTTTATTCCTCAGACAACATTTATCTGGTTATAGAAAAAATATCCTACTACAACTAGCTTTAGCTTTGGATTTTATGTTTATTGTCGAATAGTAAGCTAGTTTTTGATTGATTGGTCTACTTTTAGGGAAAGGGTAACTCGACAGTTAGGTAGGTAAAGCTTGACTCTACGTCAAGCTTTGGCAAGAATAGGCCGGTCGGATTTGCACACCCTCGTTTCTCCCAATCCTTAAATCCTTATCCGCCGAAAGGCCGACAAGGTGCTTGTATCTACTCCTCTGGAGACCCAGACATTTATGGTCGACGTAGATTGCTTACCGTCGTGGTGGCCCGGAGGTTAAGGAGCCCGCTTCTCATGCCAAACCTGGCAAGTACCAATGTGAATTTTTACGAGTTACATGTAATTTCTATGATTATTTAGACACCACTGACATACGGTGAAGATAAACATCGTGAGGAAACCTGGACATATAATTTCTAATTACAAGTTTGAAATCGCCAACCCGCATTGAGCAAGCTTGGTGATCAATGCTCTAACCTTCTCCGTATGATAAGAGGCCTTTGGGCCTTTGCTCAACAGTGGGCACTTATAGGCTGATGATGAGATTGCTTACCATCAAGTGTTCTGAACTGACAAACACCTATATTAAGGGTTAAGAAGCGAAATAATGTTCTATGTAAATCGTAAATTACCTGCATGCAAGATTAATCGTAATTCGCTACACACCTAGTAACAGTAACATAAACATTGGTGCAACTGCATAATCAATAATTGTATTTACATGCAAAAAAGTAAAACTCATTTCCTTCAATGCAAGTTAGTAGTAATCTTTAACTTGAACACGTGGCTTTAAGCAGTGGTAATGAACTTAGCTTCGATAACCTTTGATATAGTGTAACAGTATAATCCAGTAGACACATGATCATAATAAGCGCCCATTTTTGCCAAGCTCATAACTCAACAATGAGACTGCACATTGGCATAGTGGCTGGGCAACTGGCTGCTGTGCAACGTTTCAGGGATTTGACTGTTGTTTCGGGTCTAGGTGGTTTGTGTGTGTGAATTTTTATGTTTGTAAACGCAACCACGATGGAGGTGAAAATCATAATGTGCGCAACGTTACTTTAAAAAAGAAGAAACGCCTTGATATTTTTAATATTGCTTGGAGAATGAAGGTTCATTTTTAAAACACTGGAAAGTAGAAGTGAAGCCGAGAAACGGATTTGACACAGTTCGCTAACAAAATAAATAGTTCAAAACTAGTAATCCCAATTTTCCTTGTTCGTGGTTCATCACGAGTGAACGATAAGACGAATTCCCTTTATTTATGTTAGCTCGAGTCAGGAAAATGTTCTTATAAAAGATAATTCTAGGGTAAAATTAACTTATCTGAAAATTTATTTATCAGCCGTAAAACATCCACTGCTGAAAAAAGGTCCTAGTCCTCCATGTTGAACGACAACACGCCAGAGTATTTTTAACCGACTTCAAAAAAGGAGGAGGTTCTCAATTCGACGCGTATTTTTTTTTTTTTTTTTTTTTATGTATGTACACCGATTACTCGAAGACGCCTGGACCGATTTGCAAAATTCTTTTCTTATTCGATAGGGTATACTTGCCATTTGGTCCCATTGTCGTGAGGTCAGGATCTGATGATGGAATCCTGGAGAAACCGAGGGGAACTTTCGAAAATTGTAGGGGCGAGTAGTGTTTTTGTATGATGTTTAAGTAGGCCTTTATCAACACTACAACTTGACGAAGGTCGAAGTCGACCAGATGTTGGAACTGGAAGACAGTCGAGGGATCTCCTTGACTATTTGAAGTAGTTGCCTTGTGTTTGGGCTTGAATGATTCGTATTGACGAGCACTTTGCAGCAAGCTTGGTTGTAACTGTCATTAAGGGTCTGATGATGAGAACGAAGGACAGCTCAAGGAACTCCTAAACGGTTTACAGTAACTACTTCGTATTTGAACTTAATTCATTTATATTGATGAAAACTTTGTACCTGTATGTATTATAACAACTGAAGGTTTGCAGTTTACCTGATGATGGAGACCATTGACCGACGAGGGAATTCCGGATGGAACCGAGAGACAGTCGAGAGAACTCCTCAACGATTCATAGCAGCTTCCTTGTGTTTGAACTTAATTAATTCGTTTTGATAAGAACTTTACATCTAGATGGATTGTGACTGTCATCAGGGATCTGATGATGAAGACGAAGGACAGTCTAGGGAACTCCTCAACGGTTTACAGTAGCTACCTCGTGTTTGAACTTAATTTATATTGTTAAGAACTTTCCTGGAGAGATGGCCTGTGTTCCAGTAGTGGGAACATTAAAATGGCTGATAATGATGATGATGATGATGAGAACTTTCCCATTTCTTGAGATCTATTTTTTTTAACGAGCGGCTCCTTTCGTTGGCCTAGTTACACAAAGCTACTTAAAAAGTATATACTATTCAATATGTTAATTTATATTTAAAATGTTACTGTAGTTTACAGAAGAACTTGTAACAGATACTAAAAAGTAAAAAATAAAAAAAACTACGTTTAAAAAAACCGACTTCAAAAACAAAAAAGTGTCAAATAAGTAATTAAAATTGATATTCTAATAGCACTCTTACGTACGCGAAGCTAATACTTTTAATATTAATAATAAAACACTATCAATTCTATGTGCTACCTATTCATAGATTTGAAGTCGGTGCCAAGCCCTAAACAGAATAAAACTAAATGAGAATTAAAACTGTTTAATTGCTGAAAGACGAAATTTCCACAACTAACAACGCAGCCATCTACTACTACTTTTAACAACCAAGTACGAGAAAACTTTCATAATTCATCCAAATATCTTTCTAAGCTATATACAGTTTCGCCGGTAACGCAACCATATAGACTTCTGATTCTACGCTTACGCCATCAAGTTAGAAAATCGGTACTACATTTCTTAAATCCTAACAAATTAATTCCCACGCGCCCGGCGAGTGTAGGTACTCATGTAATCATGCTTATTATATTGTGTATTAGGCTTGGCACCGACTTCAAACCTATGAATAGGTAGCACATAGAATTGATAGTGTTTTATTATTAATATTAAAAGTATTAGCTTCGCGTACGTAAGAGTGCTATTAGAATATCAATTTTAATTACTTATTTGACACTTTTTTGTTTTTGAAGTCGGTTTTTTTTAACGTAGTTTTTTTTCTTTGGCTCAGCGCGATCCTGACCATGTTGCACCTTGCAAAATTATAAAAAAAGGAGTTTATAAGCTAACAAGGAATGACGGCAATCATTATGCAATGTCTTGAGTTTATTTTACACACAGTCGTTATATTTACTTACGTCAGAGCAATTGCAACGAACGATCTTTTATGCCTTTCGCGGAAGACAGACTAAAATTAGGATATCGTAGGATTACAGATGACGAAAAAAAAACACGTCAAGTGTTCGTATTTTGCGCTTCTGCTGAACTGTATTTTGTGCCCATGAGCTGAAAAACAAATACTGAAATAAATTAGAAAAATTACACGGCTACGGCCGCGCGACCGGTAGGTACATAGTTTCGTCACTTTTAAACAAAAATCTTGATTATGTGGTTTTAAATTTTAAGCAGGAATTAATATTATGATTATAAAGAATTTATAAAGTGTTTATGTAGGAATAAAGCATTTATATTATGATTGAACTGTACTTCAGTTCAAAATCTGACGTCTTTTGATATATTTTTGGAAACGTGCCCAAAGTAAGAGATGTGATTGACAAATTCAGTGGTGTGATTCATTGCATTAATTGTCTATTGATATGGATAAAGTTAAGTAGGTTAAGTGTGACGTATTTATTAATGATAATATTTATTATATTTATTTTTGCTGAGGTATTTTTGAGACCTGGCTTCAAGTTTTAAGGTCGACGAAGTACAGTATGTAGGTAGAGGAGTGATGGCAGTTTACAAATAAAAGATTGCACACACAGAAGACAGTCAATTCGATTTTTATTGCAAGATGAAGATAAAAGTTTTCTGGAAATAAGACAAACAATGATGCTAACAATGAGCGCGATTGAATTAAATTTATACTTTTCTTTGAATTAATTTTCAACAATAGCTAATGTATATAGAAATCCTAATAAATATAACTTAATATTAATGTGTAACCTTTGTCCTCAGCTGGAGTTTCTCCCCATATGAACGACAGACCGGTTGGGGAGCCGTGGTCGGAGGATTCCTGTACTGGACCTGTTTCAATTCTGTCAACCAGACCATGGTGCAACGATACATCTCTTTACCTACAAAAAGGAAAGCTATTACGTAAGTACATTTTTAATTAATACTAGCTCTTACCCGCTGCGTTGCTCCTCTCATTTGACTACGTACACTACCCAACTCAGTTACCCTACCTACCATACCTTACCATGATAGGTAAGGAACCTTGAACCTTACCCTTTCTACCCTATCCCTTGTCTTTCTCCCAGTTCTTAGCTATATCCCTACCATTTTTTAGCCAAATCGGTTCAGCCGTTCTTGAGTTAGGTATACTCCTAATACTGTAACTAACATAACTTTCTTTTATATTTAAAATATTTTTCATTGTGAAGGAGTGATAGTTCCAAATGTAGATATAGCGTAATGTTATTGTATTTCATAACATAACAAGTAATTAGTTGTGGTAGGGTTTGTCTCGTGTCCTCTAGACAGTACAAATATTAGTTCACTTTAGAATTGTGCCATAAACACTGATTACTAGATTAACTAAGTAACTACGTGGTTATCTGCATAAATTATTTGATAAGAAAACTGTATCGCTCATCTTACATGCAAACATTGAAGATGAAAACCTTCTTGCGAATATTTTTGTAATAAACCTTTACGAAACGTACGGCTTATTTACGAAATTGATTGGTGAGATAACATAGTTGTGGGAAAGCATTCGGTACGAATGGGTCGGCTCGAAGTAATACCAAGGCCTCACAAAAACAACCACAGCGTTGTTTTTTCGTGCGAGTGGGGTTATCCGAAGCTTAATTCTTCCTCTCCCCCATCCCTCACCAATCCTTAAATATCCGAAATTATAATCTACGCATTCGTAACTCCTTTGGTGTTGCGGGTGTCCATAGGCGGCGCTGATTGCTTGTGATCAAGTGTCCACTGGCTGTTTTGCCGTTGTATCTCATAAAAAAGAACTAGAGTAGACTAAAGTCACACTACTAGTTGGTTGGTTGCGCGATGATGAACCCTTAGCGTAAGCCGTTAATAATAATTAATTAAGTACTTACGAGTGCAGTAGAACGATTTTCCAAAATAATTGGGGTCGTGGGTGATTCGGATTATCCAAAATCCATAGTTGGTTATTGACCGTTTATAAAGAAAAATTAACTGTCAATCTTAAAATTAATTTTGTCATGTTCAAAAAATGATTCCCAACACATTAAATAAAATAATCGAAAATGGTGGATGGTTTGGATAAATTGGTGATAGGTTTCATTAGCGTTTTACCGTATTTTAAAATTCGGTGTTTGACTGAAGTAGGCTCTTTAATCAAAACTTATATTGTTATATATATTATATAGATATTCTAGCTCATCTTCAGCATCAGCCCTATATTTAGGCACACGAGCAAAACACAATTTAAATGCTACACATGTATTGTTATTTAATATAATTTTTTTATTGAAGTTAATTACAATCGGTTTTTGAGGTCACATAACATAGTAGATGCTGTGAAGACTTTATAAACGAAACCATAGCTTTACCGACTCAAAGAGTCAGCAACTATCATCTTCTTACCCTTCTTTGTACATATTACTTAAAAAAATCACGTCAAACTCAGCTGTTTTTCTATAAAATTCTTATCAGAAACTTTCCACATTTTTATAGTCTGTTGTTTTGAATGTCAAGATGTCAATGGGTAGCTATTTATGGCGCGCAGACGACGTGTGGTGTAACAACATTTTGTTGAACTATTTTTTAGTCTTACATAAGGAATATTGCATCATTGTTAACACCGAAATATGATACAGAGTGAACGAAACTGACAATTTTTCTGTTTAAAATTTAAATATTAAAAAGATAGAAAAACGTTGCAATATTTTGGGCACTGACCAAATTTTAATGCGAGGAATCTGCCAATAACTGTGTGTAATAAATTACCATTGTAGAATACATAGATATTCGCAGATAAGTATCTAACAAAAAATCAACTCCATTTTGTTCGGATTTTTTTAACGACGTACTACCGTAGGTACTACATATTAGTACTACTTCATTCGATCATTAAACCAAATCGTTTGATACGTTGATAATTATTTCCGCATATTGTGTTACTCAGTATAAAATCTTGTTTGAATGTCTACGTAGGTATAGGCAACAAATTCATAACACGCCTTTTATGTTATTAAATAATAAAAAAAATTGATTTGCTCTATTTATTAATTTAAAATATTATCAATGGAATTGGAAAGTAAGCGGTTTTAAATTCGAACTTATTGGAAAATAACGACATCACATCCAAGATTTGCCATGCTTCAGCACAAGTAGACAAGCTCGACCGGAGTGATACCACGGTCTTTCAGAAAACCGAAATACGGATGCGTTAAACAACGCTTGCATTGTGTTTCGTGTATGCGTGCTTTACCGGCGGCCCAATCGTATCCTCATCCCCAATCGCAACGAAACGCAAATCGCATCGCCTCAAGGCCAAGGCAAATTCTCCATTTGTTTGTCATCATCATCGTATTCCATAAAATAAATATATCGTCCGTCATTTAGTTTTTACAAAACCCTCGGAAAGGAAAGGGAGGGGTGATGAGGTAGATGACGATCGTCATTAGCACACGGCTCTTAACCCATAGTTAATGATTCATGTCTCTTATATCTATACTTTATCAATGCACAAATTCCAGGGCAATATTCATCTTCTGCCTGGGTGCGATTCTGGCCATCTCACTATGTGTATGGTGTGGTCTTGCGGCCTGGGCTACCTGGGTGCAAGGAGGATGCGACCCTGGCGGCGTGCCTCTGGTTGACGACAGACTTCTACCAGCTTTCGTCACGTACGTGTCCAGGGCGAAGCACTTGCCTGGATTGTCTGGGGTTTTCTTGGCTGGAGTTTTTGGAGCCGGACTTAGGTAAGTGCCTATGTAGAAAGTATTATTGAATTTTAGTTTATTTTAACAATGAGAATAAGTTTGTGTGTTAAGCAGTTCGTTAATTAAATTACTCATTGTTAAACCCCTGATTTCTGAATAACTTGGTATTATTTCTTGAATATTTTCTTCAATTTTGAATTTAACAGGATAAAGTTCGTTCAGAAACCGGGGGTGATTGAATTTGAAATATATTTTTTCTTTGTTCAGTTCACTTTCAGCAGTGTTGAATGCGTGTGCGCTGGTCGTGATAGAGGACATCATCCACGGCTGGCTGAAGCTTCAACTGAAGCCGTTTACTGAGGGTCTGCTGGCCAGAGCGATCACCGCCAGTTTAGCCATCGTATCTGTCGTGATGCTGTTCGTTATTGAGAAACTAGGAGGCGTTCTTGGTAAGTTATACAAGACCAGTTAGAAAATAAATCTTCTAGACTCTTTAACCTACACTTGTATCAGGATTATCCGTGACCATATCATGTTTATGACTTTTTAATTTGCTATAAAAAATCCAAATATCGAAAGAGTACATCATAGAAAAGCGGCGTGAAACAACCACAGCGTTTGGTTTCGCCGTGTGAGTGAGGTTACTGAAGGCTCAATCCAAAATCAAGGAGAGTAATTCCTCAATCTCTCCCCAATCCCTAAATTCCCAATAGGTCGACAACGCACTCGTAATTCTTTCGTTCTTGCGTGTGTCCATTGGCGGCGCTGATTGATTGCCATGAGATAATCCGTACCAATAAGAAATGTGAGACAACAATACTATATCTTTCATTTAATTTCCTCAGGGGTAGCGACAGCATTATCCGCCATTGCAGCAAGCGCAACATGTGGAGTGTTTACTCTTGGTATGGTGTGCTGGTGGGTGGGACCCCGTGGTGCCCTCTCAGGGGCCCTTGCCGGGGCCCTACTGGCTGGTACAGTATCACTGGGGACCCAGGCGGCTGCAGCTAATGGTTTGAGGGCCCCGCCGCTGAACATAACCTCAGATTGTGCCCGAAACGCTTCCTATGTGGATTCATTTACTGATGCTATTGTAAGTTGTTGCATTTTTTACTGCATATGATTGGAGTAGGAAATTTATCTATGTTGTCCATTTTTAATGGTTGTGACAATTTTGATTTTAAATAGAAACAATCTCGTCGATATAGTAATAACTATATCTGTAGATATGCGGTCTCTTTATTCTAGACTTTTGTAGATAACGTGATAAAAACAGGCGTTTATTTTAAAAGGATGTTACTTAATAAGTCATACTAGCCTCGAGATAGTGTCAGAGTCGTGATTGATGAGTTACATTTTCATTTTTATTAATGTTAAAATGTTCGCGACGTAACATTATTCGATTTTAACATCCTTCATTGATATCAAGGTCGGTTATCCACGCCTATAAGGAAAAAATATAAGTAAATAGGTAATACACACAGCGGCTATTACTTCATACTAAGTAATTATTCACAGAGTTTTTGTTACATTGATAACAGTAAAAATATGTACAGCATAAATTAATTTAATGGTATTTTAATTGCGTAGATTTTAATACTGTACAGTTGCAGTGTTTTTTATTATTATGCCATATGGGTTTAAGAAAAAATCACTTCTAAACTGCTATAAGATTTTTAAGGACTAAAATAGTTTCGTGCCAGAAAAAAACATATTACCTACGAAAACAAATCCAAACAGCTTCCTAAGTATAACAAATTTAGTTCTAGCTCAAATGTAAACCTTCCACAGGACCCAGAATCAGTGTTCCCGCTGTTCAGGATATCGTACCATTGGATAGCGCCTCTAGGGTTGCTGGCTACACTCACAGTTGGTATGATCGTGGGTTGGTTGTTCGACAAGAAGGAAAGTTTGAAGATGGATGCCGAGCTATTCACGCCGGGCATGTGGCGATTCTTGCCACAAGAAGCTATTGAACGAGCTGGGGATACAAGGAGGGCCATTGTAGATCGAGAAGCCGCCCCTGCTCATGCTGCACCGCTTATCCTTGCTACTATTGATAAGGTAACTTCAAATTTTGAATTTTGTTCATATGTATGGAGCGCTTACAATTATCCTACCTATACCGAATTCCGAAATAACGATGAATATAATTAATTTCAATATTAATACTTGATACAAAAGAATCGAGTATTATTAGAAGAGCACAAGTGGAATCCGGGATTAAAAAGTGTTTAATTATTTTTTTATAAATGTGTTTTTTTCTGAACTGGTGAAGATTGGTTTAAAATGTAACATTTATCGTGCTTCTCGTTGTTGTTGGTTTGTCGTTTATTTAAAATGTCAATATAAATGTGATACATATATATTTTTATGCATACAACAAATATTGGTTGTTATAAGTACTACCTAATGTCTTTTTATCAATATTCATAATTTAATTCATATCACAATGTCCTAATTAATCATTCGTCTAGAATTACATTAGGTGGATATAAATTATCTGATATTATAATAGGTATGGATATACTTATTTACATATATGTTGGTTAATTGATATCAACTTTATGATAGGTTTATTGTCTTTAAACATTGTTTTATTGCTTTTAATTTATATTTACTGGCATATCAATATCAGCTAAGGGAATCGTATCGCCTGACATATTTCCATCATGAATCATAGTTTTTTATTGTATGTAATTATTTAATGGAATCTATTTATGACACATATTTGGTGAAGGTTCAAAGAGTAAATGTATCAGTATACATCAGTATTGTACAATTTTGTGTTTATTTAATCATTACATTAACAAATATCAATGAAACAATGAAACAATGACACACACATTGGTCATTTGTCTCATAGAGGGGCATGTAATGTTTTTGTCGACGCCTGTGAAAATTGATATAGCAACGTTTTGATAATGCGAACATTTGCTTTTATTTTTTTGACAGTTGAATTTTTGGTGAACTGTTGTTAATAATGATATATTTTTTTATCTAAATGAACATTTCAGATTCAAAAGGAAAATTAATTGGCATGTTATGGCGATACGTAGGCATTTTTCCCTTAGCGCGTACATTGGGTATGTCCTTGTAGGATTTTTCTTATTGTTTTAGTTATTTCTCTTTATATTCAGTTTTTCCTAAATTTATTACTTATTATTTTACAGATCGAAATAAATGGCGAGACGAGCAGGTGAGATGAGCGGACACACAAACATTTCTAGGTATTTTTATTCATTGTGACGAAGATTTAAATTGTCTAGTCACGCAGTGATGTTAGAAAAGTATTGCTATTAGAAAAAAAAAATATGTTTATGAAAAAATCGGTGATGTAGGGGCATTATAAAATTCGCTCTTAAAATAGAAAATTGTAGCATAGATAAGGTAAATTGATATTTTTTTAGCCTTTAAAAAAACCATTCCGTTGGTTAAATGTTGGAAATGGTGATGTAGTGTGGAACAAAAAAAGATTTTTTGTTTTTCTGACTAGTGAAAGTTATAATGGGACCAAGAGACTTGCTGAGTATGTTATAAGGTGTATTTGTTTGGTAAATATATGCGCTGTTTGCGACCAATAAATAAACAATGTACTTACATAAAATAAAATGTATAAAAGTAAAGAATTGTGGGTATTACATGTTCAGGCCGTGATATTGAACAGCTTTTCATTCCAGCTTGGTACTTAAAAATTAATGGACTTGCCGTAGGAATTGAGTACAAAAAAAAAAAAAAAATTTCAAATGTTTAATGTCGTGACTTGAATTAGCATCTACGAAACTCTGTGTACCTACTACCTAAGTAATACAATGGTAAAACTAAAGGCAAAATTCTTTTTTTAAAAATCATTGTCAATAAAAATTTTGTTATAAAATAAATACTATTTTTGTAACCTGTTTATACATTATGGTGCCAATTCGTTATAGTAATATAATTAAATTATAATTTATATTTTTGTGTTACTAATATATGTAGTTCTTAAATACAAGTTTTATTTTATAAAATTATAATATATGCAGATCTATATTTGGCTGTTAGTTTATTATTTTTTTGTTTGTAAATTGAACAATATTGAATTTTAATTGAATTAGATACAATATTATGTTATGCAAAACAAAAATAATATTATTACAAATGTTAATGTCCTAAAGTTCAAACATTAAAACTAATTTGTACTTAAAATAAAACGTAGCAGTATTTTAATATTTTAAGTAAATAACAAGTATTTTTAAATGGAATCAGATTTTTTTATTGGAAGGACTAAGTTTTACTTTTCCTAAATTAATTTTGCTGTGCATTCTTTACTAAATTTTATTTAGAAATGGACTTTACTTAGTTACTTATAGTACTTACTATCTATAAAATCACAATTCAAACGGTACTTAAAACATTTTTTTTATAATACATCAATGTAGTATGATTATAATGCACCTATTAAATAGATTATTGAATATAGAACGAATTTGTATGAACTATGTGCCACATAATATTACCGGGTACTCATATGAAAGTGGTGAAAAAATCAAGCCCTTAAGGTCGTTTTTCAATTATATACACAGAATACACAAATATGCTCGAATTAATTGCAATACATTGCAATGCTTAGAGATCTTTTTTCTAGAAAACTTATCTTTTAATACGTACCTATTTACTTATGTAACTAAGATTGTTATGGAGCCAATTTTATATATAAAAATATTTATAAGTAGTAATAAATAATCTAAGTTATACGTATATTATTTTAAGTTCAGTATATTTGACGACGCAATAGATTTGGAGAAACGCACAATTTTTTTTTTGATATTTTTTGTATTTAGGTGTGTACTTACTTTATCTTTAATATCACAAATACATAAACATTATATGAATTGATATTTAATTTTAATTGTATTGAAATACAAATGAACTTAATGAATATTTTGTATAAAGCCAATGAACTACGAATTTTACAAGTTCTGGTGTTTTGTGTGGCTTAAACATCAAATAATTGAAAACCAGTATAAAATGATTGTTGAATGCGCGGAAAAGTAATACAAAGCGACACCATGATTATTATACCATGGTGTCTTATAGTATAGAAGCCAATTATAATATTTTTGCTATGCAATTTACAACATTAAACTTATGAATTTTGAGAAACGAACAGAGTGTATTTTTAAGTATTTTTTTCCTAAAAGTGTTACCTACTGGACATACAATTTAATTTCAAGGAAAAGTTTTAATATGTATTCAATTTATTTATTGCTACATGTAGCTAACATTGTTATAAATGTACTGTTTTTTAGATATATTTAAAGCGCAATTTCAAAACAAAAACGTCAAAGCCTTAATTTTTAATGTACCTGAACTTATTTCAGTTAAATATTTAAACATTTATTTGTTAAACAATGTATTACTTTAGAACGTGTAATATTTACGTTAGCAATTATAACGTTACAAAATAAATCTAATTACAACAACTTTGCTTATCTCGTTTCATTTCATATTCAAATTCGGCCATTTTGAAAACGAATTATTTCTAGAACGTGCCATAATTTCGTCGTGGAAAGTTTTGGTAAGTTATAAAATAACGAGGACATGGCGTAAATAGTCAGGTGTGTCACGGAGATTTACATTCGAAGCGCGTTTCCCGCCATTAAAAGTGGAAACAAACTGTGCCGCCATTGAGGATGCGACAGAAACGCAGCCAGAGATCGCACGTGATCTTTTGTTGTGAGGGTTGCAAAAGTTAAGATTGTGGAGATTTGTTAAATATTACTTTATTGGTAAAGATGCAAGAACTGCTGAATATGAGTGACATTAATACATAATTACAATCAATAATGATAAATTATGTATACCTATTTTAGCTCATATGATTAAAGTAAAAAAGAAAACCATGATTTTTTTATTTGAACACAAGAAGTAAGTTTAACAAATTTCCATAAAATTAATTGACTATCAAATTGAACAATTTACATCTTATTTCCTTTGATAAATCGACATCAATACGCCGCTGAACCATTTGCTTGAAACGACACGAACAAACTTATTCGAGTTGGTAATAAAATGGCAAATTTCTGACAAAAAGCATCGTAAAACTGATTGCGGCGGCGAAAAGCCTCGAACGGAGGCTCGATCGTAAACTGAATTGGCCTAGGAACTGTTTAATTGCGAACAGTTACTTGTAATTAAATATGCGTAAAACGGAATACATTCCTATTTGTTTTGTTGGGGGGAAAATATTGCCTAACAAGATGGGAATATTATACCTACAAGAATAAACAGAACTCGAGTGCAGACGTACAGAGTAATTGCCTTCTTGTATAACCCATACTTTTTTTATAATAATATCGAAACTTCACAGAGGGGACACAGATTTGTTGATTCCATTTTAACAGGGATTTCAGTCAATCGGGAAACTGTGGTTTAGTTGTGTGTCACATTGCGAAATACTCGCAAACTTTTAGTATTCTTCTTTCTGAATATAGTACAAAAAAAGTAACTTGCGAAAACAAAAAGAAATAATCTTAATTGTTTTATGTAATAGTTACAAACTGTTACGACTAATTGTTTATTTACTTAGTCCTCTCCTATTATGCATAAGAAATAATATAAGAATTAGGTAGTAAGATTTAGAATAAGGAGAAGAACTGGTAGTTCGATAGTAGATTTATGTCAAGGTTCTGTCAGAAACGTTACAATTTTATTTATAAAATTTCCTAAAATTATTTAAGTATTATTAAAGTCTCTTAAAAGAGACTCTTCTTTATCATCAGCCCATAAGTGCCCACTTTTGAGCAATGGCCACACTTGCTTAAGGTGGATTGGCGATTTCAAACTTATTATCAGAAACCAGGTTTCGTCGCCATTCTTTCCTTCACTGTTTGTCAATGGTGTCTAACTCGGAAAAGTTACATTGATGAGAACGATGTGAAGCGTGTTCTCGGGGCCACCGGGACAATAATTATTCCCATACCCACTAATTAACTACCTTTGTAAAACTTCAGCTATGAAGACGAAGACAATAATATCTTCAGTGTTAACAGTATTTAAGTTCACAGAAACAGGAACAGGACTAGCAGATAATGAAGCTGAACCAACAAGTTTATGGCTGTCGTAAAAAGACGCCAATTAATTAATGAGCCAACTTGGAAATAAATTACCCCATTGGGACTTGAAAGGTGCCACGCATAACGGCACCTACCCGCTCTATACTTAAGACTGGCAAACGTAAAATTAAATTTTATTGTTTTTCTGTTAATGTTGACTTAAGTTTGATTATCGTTGTGGTACATTTCAGGTGTTTGTAATTACCTTATTTTTAAATAAGGTGTATATTATTTTTTATGAGTCTGTCGGTGTCTTTGTGTGTAGGTATGTATCAGTTGTTTTGTATAGATTAGCGAAAATGTCAATCAATTGTAATGTAAGTCCCTTTAGATAAAAGAGATACTTGAAAAAATATAATAATCGTGAAACCATTTTTTGGTTGGGCTCATTGTCTTCATTCACAACAAGCTAACCGGCGTTTTGCCTTGCTTGTGTTCACGGGGGACAGCCAAGTATACTCGGAATTTTAATTCCATTCCAGATTTGACAATTTCAGTGTTGCAACGTTATGACACGTAATAAATAGTGTCGTTGCGAAATTATTCGATATGGAAATCGAATATTTCTGAATCGATTCCTCTCGTTTATAAATTTACTCTCGTAAACTAAGATTATCAGGAAATAAAATATTTCTGAACCGATAATTTAGTTTTGACAATTAATTAACGATCTGACACTTTTCTTTTGTACCTAATTGTGTGTGAAATAATAAAAAATGTGATCATGAAGGAACATGACAAATAAAACAGAAATTTCATAAATTGTCACCGCCATCGCTAACGCTATCGCTGTTACTTTCTGTAACATTTATTATGAATTGTGTCTGTGATATTTATTGTCAATTAACATATCTAGCTTACTCATTTTTTCCCCTTCTTTGACAACATGGGATACGCATTTAGACCATTCGGTAGCCGTAATTTTTTGAATGCCTTCCTGTAACTGATTCACTGATTGTTTATTGATTTTTGTGTTCATCACTACACTGTTATATGTGGTATCATTACTTTCACAAAATGACAGTAGCTCATGTCAAATCAGGAATCGAATTAAAATTCTGACTATAGTTTCGGAGCTTATGCAAATAATTAAACAATCAATAAAATCATTCTTCTTTATAATATTTGTAGATATAGACAATTGAGTCTCATAGATGTTCGCTATTTTCCTAATGCAAGTTTCTGTCTGCGGTTTCGCCTGCAATACTAGATAAAATAATAAGTAGCTTTATGTGATGTTCAAGACTAGAATCTATCTCTATTATATGTCAAATTTCATTCACACTCGTTCAACAATTTTATGTGGATGATTAACAAAGTTCCTCACTTCCATACTTAAAAACTTTCGCTTGTAATATTATTGGGACTATGAACAACATATTCATGCAAGCAACTATTTATGAAATCGAAATATTGGCAAGAAATTGATAAAAATAATATGAGTACCTACGTATGATTTAAATCTGGAAAAACAAATGCCGCCTTACTTAATAGTGTCATTTATAACACCGATTTAGT